ATGGTAGAGTTTTGTTCTCACAGATGTGCTGACTTATTCCCTCAACATCCCCCAAAATATCTTCTTCCTCCGCGCCTCTTTGATTGACTTAATATGCGCTCGTTATCTTTATGTTTCTTAGTTTTCTGTTATTACATCAGTCAAGAATTACATGAAAAGCTGCAGGGCACCATGGTTTTGCACTCCCAATTAGTTGCTTGTAATGATAATATAATTACATTTCTTTTTGGCATAAACACCAATTAAATAGCTACAATTTGAAATGCTAGTTTTGCTCCTATTCACGCTTTCACACGTCTCCGCTCTCCCGTAATTTATTTTCTTCGCAGTAATGGCATTCAGTCTGGTTTTACTTCATGTCGTGATGGCGGGGGTAATAAATGAAGTTATTAAGTGAATCCAGTTTATGAATTTCAATTTGACTAAAAGATTCGAAGATGATATACAGTTTGTGAAAAGCTTCTGAAGTACATCACAGGCTGCTGCTGCTGCTTAATGCACGATCTGAACAAATACATATTGATAGCGGCTTGTCACAAAGTCAGCCATCCAGCTGCACTGTGTGGGTCCAAATTGCTCCGTGCGACTTGGTTGAACTGTCATGGTGGTGGTTTGCTTTGATTTTTAAGCAGGGAGCACATGCATGAACTCATACATGGTCAATCAATACACACACTCCCAGTTTCTTAAAAACAACACTCGCATACCTCTGTGTGCGTTCACACTCTTAAGGGCTGTCTGAACAGGTGCAGGCATGTGGAAAGAAAGAGATGGGATTAGATACATGGCATACGCTCACACATACAAATGCATAGGGAACAGGCGCTTTGACGTGACAGAAGAGACATGACAGAACCACACGAAGCCAGCCAATCACATGCATGTGCACACGGACACGAGTGAATAGTGAGGCATGGTGGAAAACAGGAGAGCCTCCTCTGTAATTATCTGCATTGCAAACATTCCTTCATCAGCATGTTTTTTTTCTCTCTTGCCCAAATTTTCTTCCCTGGATGTTCCAGCTTGCAGGAACCTCTTATTGGCACGCTTTGGTTTTGCTCATCTCACTGCGAATATGTGTGTGACAGAGGGAGGGAGATAGCGAGACGGAGCAGGAGGAGGGGTGGCAAACTGGCTATTCAGTGGCTCAGTCACATGGGCATCCACGAGAGGCAGGCAGGCAGACACAGAGACTGGAGAGGCTGGTTATCGGTTCAGCTGCAAACACAGAGTCAAGCTGCGAGGATGCTATCGCTCTCCTGAGCGACATGGAGGTCATACGGGTTAGCTGTTAGTGTCTCAGCTGGGGAGGAACACACTGAATCATAGTGTTCTGGTTAGAGGAGGAAGTCTCCAAAGAGTCCAGACAGAAAGTCATGGTTAATCTCAATGTCATCATTTAGCCTGTTGTGGCTTCATCACAAGAATGTCTTGAACTGGGAGTCATTAAAAAGATAGATAGACAGGTAGACACTTTGTTCAGCCTCTTGGGGAATTTCAAGGTGTCCAATAGCTCACACATCAAGGTGAGCACTGTGCTGGTAGAATTAAAAAAAACAAAATAAAAAACACTTAGGAAACACTTACAGAACATGTACCTACAAGATACATTGAGTTGCTGCCACTCCGGGCTTTTGTTTTCATTATTTTTAACTCCTAATACCACATTATTCACCACGTGTTGACTGAATATTGGCATTATCTATATTCGCATTTTTCCAGTAGTCAGTAGAGCAATTTTTGAACCAATTCCTTATCAAATAAATTGATGAAAAATGTGCTTCTTTGGCTCTGAAGCAAATGCCTCTCTTTATCTATAATCAGCACTCTGTGGCCTCGAGCGATGTCGCACCCAAACTTCTATCTGGTTACACATCATGTCATAAATAACAGCCTATAAACACTGACGGATAACTGTTAAAAAGTTCTCTGTTAATTCAACATGTGTAAAAGATAAATAAGCAAATGCATTTTGTGCTAGAGTTTGTGTCATTCTACACTTTAAACACAGAGATCTTCATTTTTACTGCTAATCTGTAGCTGTTCTCAATATTGGTTTTCCTTGATTACAAATGATTAAAGTCGATATCGGCCTTGAAACAAAAGACACATATCAATTGATCCCTACTGTTTCCATACAAAAGCTTTAATTACTTTTTCTAAAGGCTTTTCTGAGAAACCACACCTGATTTTATGTTCCTTATAGATGATTATGTCCTATCGATTGTGAGAACATATTATCTAGTCACAAATACAAAATTGCTGTCAAAAAAAAATAAACCAGCTGTCTAACAGTTTGTACAATAATCAGATTGTAGCCACTGATTTGTTGCGTGAAAAATTGAAGATGCTTGAAAAGTTTTTAATTCAAACATTAGATTTTAACAAACAAAACAAGCTTTAAAAAGTAGCTCAAGTGCCACTGTACAATCCTCTCCCACCTGAATGACCAGAATTATTCACGCAGGCAAACGTTTTCTGGTTGCCTTGCTCTGTAGCATCGGTTACTATTGAAACCATCCCCTGCTGTGTCATGCACTCCTCCCCCCCCCCTAGCTTCTCTTCTTTTGTTTTAATGGGGTGCATGTGCAGCAGTTGGTGATAAAAGAAAATCTCATCCGCTGTAATCAAATCCACCATCATGACATAAGCAATAAGGAAACTGTTTCTCAGCAGTATGGGAGCTGTTGTTACTTTACTGACACGGTGCTGTGAGAACATCTTTTTAATATTGCCGCTCCATCTGGTGCCTGAAAGTGTTTAAATATGAGGACTGTCTCATCTCATCAATCGTATCTGTGTCTTGATTTATTTATTTTCAACAGTCAAACCGCGACGCTGCGGTTTCTTCATAAATCCCACCATCTGGGCGACTGACAATGATAATAGTTATGATAATAACTGTGCGTGAGTGAGGCTGATTAATTCCTTCTCTGTCTGAAGTCCTCTCTCATCCCCTCTCTCCGTCTCTCTCCAATCTTTCGTTCGCTCATCTTGTGTCCTCTCTTTCCTGACTTCCTCACCCTTCTCTCGGTTATTATGCAGAGTGTTATATGTCTGTAATTATGCATCTATTTCAAGACGTCCTGGTGAAAACAGTCCTGTGATTGCCTTTCTCTGCTGCCTGCATCCTGTTATTAGGCTAGAAATTATAATAACATAGCAGATGTAAGGCTGCTTTGGTTCTGAGATTTACTAGACGTAGTAGTGTGTGCAAATAGCATTTATTGGTTTCATCGTGGATGATGTTTCGTTAGCCTTGTAAAGAGTGCTGAAGAGTGCTCGCATGTAGCACTGGAACAAACTATTATCAGGCTGAAATGTTCTTCACTTGTATAGAAAGTGTCTTGTGATCAACCTGTTTGGTCTTTTCTGTTAAGATTTATGCATGGTTATGTATCTATGTTTATCTTTCACCTCATTTGTAAGTTTGATCAGATTTGCTTTTGAGTGGAAATTGCTTATCACATATATTTGAGCTCGTCTTGGCTTGGCCCACAGTGTAAAGTGTTTTTATTTTACACGACAGTCGTGACTTGACAATCTGACCCTTAACAATCTGAAAACCTCGCTATCCAACAGGATTTTAGGAAAAATGAACAGAACCCATTAGAAATAGCCTTAACATACTGACAGCCTTGGCTCCAGACTCTGACATGACATTTTAAGTCACAAATAAGGATAATTATCTGACTTAACAATTGGACAGATTTACTTACCTTTGATGTCAGCCGACGGGCCTGTGCACAAGCACACTGGTCAGTTAGCCATGAAATCCAGTGATGCGTAGTGTTCTAACAATACACTAGTTATCAGAACAACTAGAAACAATAAATATTAACAACAAATGACCCTTCAAGCATCAAGCCCTCCTTGTATCTCGACCTTGAAAGAGGACTCTGTGAGAACCACACTAGCAGGTCTGTACAGCTGTGTTTAGGCAGAAATATCAGGGGTCACCAGAAGAATTAAGTCTCCGGGAACTGTAAATGTCTGCATAAGTCTTCATATTTCAAATTGTTACCATGGACCTAAATGGTCAAAATAGTCAACCCTGTCTTTCAAAAACTAAATTCCTTTACAACTAAACCTCAGTCCGATTTACATTTAGAGAGAAATGTATTTTCTCCCCAAAAGGTAAGACTGTGTCGTAGCAATGTGAGCTTCTAGTTTGACGGAGCAACAATGTCTACCAAGTAGTTCGGAGGGGAGGTTGGCGGTCAGCAGCAGGGCTTCCACAAGGAGACTAGGGTTGCCTCCTGTGTGGAGTCGTTACTGTTAGACTTGTTTTTGTTTTCACTTCAGTTTAGTCACCAAAATTACACGGTAAGGCTTCGGAAGATCTCATGCTTTGGTTGACACTTTTACAACAATAACTATCTGTTAGGCGCTTGGTTAAGATTTGGTGCCAAACTGACTTGGTTAGGTTTAAGAAAATAACCCAGTTTGGTATGAAATACACACCATGTTTCAAGCTCCTCCATTTTCAGGGTTACCAGGATGAGTCTCTATCCAACTTGTATATTATCGTTTGGCTGAAAAGCAGTAAAGCAACTAAAAAATTGGCAGAGATGTGTTGATGTGAAACTAGTGATATATAGTCAAGCATTACTGAGAATGCTGTTTATTTGCACCAGAATGTTGTTGTTTTTTTTGGAGACAGAGCTGAAATGCTGGATTATCTAACTGACCGTCAGACAGAATGATGATGTCTGATGCCACGCTGGCAAAAAAATGGCTGAAAAAAACCCCCACATTCAGTCCCACACACACACAAAGCTTTACAAAGGACTTGGTGCCCTTGTAGCTCCTCCAGCAAACCCCTGCTTCTGTTTGACACTCTTATTACATAATGTGGGGCTGCTGCGTCCACCCTTTGGGATTCATCTTTGTCACAGAGAGCACTAATGATGCTGAGTAATGGAGTCTTTCCAACGCACAGCGACTGACGAACCAATCTCTGACCCTCTGTCCCCCCCCTTTTTTTCCCTCTCTTTCAGACGCTGCTGCTAAGAAAGCCTTCATCACAGAGGTGAGCCACCATCTGTCCCTGTGATCATCTCCTCTAGTTACCTTTTGATTACTCACATCAATATCTGCTTCCTCGCTGCCAAACCCACCACACCATAAAGGTTTCATCTGGGGATGGAGCTCAATTAACATTTGACTCAATTAATTTTCTCCCACACACATCAGTACTAACGACGTAACACCAGACAGAACAACGTATTTAAAAAGCGTTAGAATTCTTCTTTTTGCGGACTGCTTGGCTCACATGGTCTTAATCCGTTCTGAAGAATCCCCTTCATGTCACACTTCACATACTGTTCAGTACATTAAAGCAAACCTATAAAACCATTACACAATTTGTTTAATTGGAGTCTGGTGAGTATTTAAATCTACTTAAATGCCCATTTAAAACCCCCCAAAAAAACCTTACATTCCATGGAACAGCACCGGAGGTATTTACATCGGATGAGATCCAAAACATCCGATGCAGCTTCTACAACTAAAGCATTATCTAAATCAGATTAAATTACAAATCGAGCAGACCTCATGCTATGCACAGTTTGGGTTTGATTGATTAAGGAGCTAAAGTTACACTAATTAAAGATCCCGAGGAACCAAATGAGCCAAAGTTGGAATGCCGTTTCAAAATTAGCACCTGGTCTGCTCGGAGAAAAACATCAAAGCTCTCATTCGTCGATGCCGGGCCACTCTGCACTCTTTGATATTTAAATTATCGGCGATAATGAACAGGTGCAAACACTCCTGTCCTGTAATAGTAGTCTGCTGTTGTCTCTTTCATCAGATGCCCTCATCCTCAGGCCAGCCTGGCCAGGGAAAGAAGATTGGCCACAGAGGGGTGGATGCATCAGGGGAAACTACTTACAAGAAGGTGCGATAGACGGAACATGGATTAGCTGTGATTTAGTTTGTAGTTCTAAACATGTAAAGAGAGAAATATCTTCTTACTGTGTATATATAATTACAGGCTACATTCTACTGAATACTTCGTTTTGTAATTGTAGACAATCAGGACATTCTGAGGGGGTTATTAAAAGCCCAAGTACTCCAATCATCTCCCTCTTCCTCCCTCCCTTCCCTCTGCAGACCACATCATCAGCCTTGAAAGGTGCCATCCAGCTTGGCATCGGTTACACAGTGGGCAACCTGAGCTCCAAGCCAGAGAGAGATGTGTTGATGCAGGACTTCTACGTGGTGGAGAGCATCTTCTTCCCCAGGTAACTGCCCCCACCAAAGCCCTCTGCCACACCGAACTGGGATGCCGTGGTTTTAATGTGTGTTTCTTCTGTATTTTAGTGAAGGCAGCAATCTCACTCCCGCCCATCATTTCCCGGACTTCCGCTTTAAAACTTACGCTCCTGTGGCCTTCCGCTACTTCAGAGAACTTTTTGGCATCAGGCCGGATGACTACCTGGTAAGATTTCACTCCCTCTGTATTAATTAAAGTCTCTCGGAAATCCTCAGATTAGAACTTCGTCGTGAAAGTTTGAAGCAGAAAGATGTAAAGGCGGAAATTTGATTTAAGAAAAAAAAAGAAATTAATAAGGGTGGAAATTGTTAATAAGTTAAGAGAGCGCCGAGAAGGGAGGGATGAGGACAAGAAGCCATCAGACAGCAAAGACGGAGAGAGAGGTTTTTCAGGAAGTTAGGAAAGGACGATGTGCAGCGTGTCTCTCCCCATCAGCAAGGAGAACCTGGAGGCGGCCCTGAGCCGTCTAGCTGCATATAGATACACTGCTTAGTCAGTGTTTATGCATGCTCCGTGTGCACTAACCACGTGGAAGCACCGCATCACGCCTGCCGTCCGCTCTTCTCTCTCCGTCAGCCTGTGGTCACTCATCACCATATGTCCACACAGGTCATACGAGGACATTTCATCACCACTTTGCGACGTTATTAATATTTTAAATCTGGTTACGATAAAGGCATGAATCAGTTTATTAGAAATAAAAAAATCAAGATCAAAACCAAGCATGTATTCTATTCATTCCTCCCTATCTTTCCCAGCTTGTTACACGTTTGGTTGTTTGTACCAACGTTACATAACATCGTGTGGACTGGATGCTCTAATTGACTCTAATTGATAGATGGTGTTACTAATTAGAGGGCTTGGGTTCCTGTGACACTTAATCTTTTCCAGAGGTGGTCCAGTCACTTCACATTTGTAGTGGTAGTAGTAGAGCAGCTTACATTCCTGTGTTTTTTTTTCTACACCTTTCCACAACAGATTAGTCCACTTTTTAGAGCAGCTTTCCCATCGTGGCCTTAATGAGGTGTTTGGGAGGAGCACCTTTACATAAGCTGCGCTGTGTTCTCATTTATTTCTGTGCAACACATTTGGCATGCGCACTGGGTGTAACCAGGGTTCTGAGTGGGGAACAAAAAAAATCTTTCAGTACTACTGCCAGGTCAAGTCCAGGGCCTATAAAGTAACTCCAGAAACACCACTAAAGCAACAAATGAGAGCCAAACCTGAACCTGCATGTGCAATAAATGTCTAAATATGTATAGAAATACTGGAAATGATCCTTGTGTGACTTCAGTATGTAAGGTTAGTCCAGTCGACACATGAGTCATAGTCTGTGACCGGCCTCCTGATCTTTCACTGGCTGTCAGCAGGCTCCTGGTTGGAAACTTTGACCTTTTCCAAACTGATGAGCAGTTGTGAGCTGGTGTTCACAGGCAGCTCATGTTGTTGGTTAATGCTCACATGTTGCCTTCTAGCAGCGATGCTGTTTCCACACATGCACAATGGCAACTACAGATTTTTTACATTATCTGTTTATTAGGTTATATATTAAAATAGTTGGTTTAATTGCCCAGTTTTACAAGCTGAACAGCAAGCAGTGTCTGGGTGTTTTTTTGCTTTGTGTACTTACTATGGGCTCATTTTTCACTGCAGTATTTATTTCTGCACCTCTACGGAGACAGCACAATTATAGGTAGAGGAGTGCAGTAAAACAAAGTTATAAAGCCATAAATCCATCCATTAATTATCGATACACCGCTTAATCCTCACTAGGGATCCCAGCTGACTTAGGGTGAAGGCAGGGGACACCCTGGACAGGTCACCAGTCTATCACAGGGCTACACTTAGAGACAGACAACCAAGCACACTCACATTCACACCTACGGACAATTTAGAATCACCAATTAACCTCAACATGTTTTTGGACCTTGTGGGAAGAAGCCGGAGAATCCGGAGAGAACCCACGCTGCACGGGGAGAACATGTAAACAAGCCATAAATCCTGAAGAAAAAAACAAACACTGAATTTCTTTTACTATTCATTTTACAAAAATGGAAAAAACCTGTAATCAACAGGTACAACATTATTCCAAATGCCCCCAGATGCTTCCACTGCCGGAAAACAATGGCAACTGTCCTTGCTATAGATATTTTACTATTTAAACTTTAAATTAGTTTCAGCACTTGTCTCCTCTCTGACTAAACAAAGCTTGCAGTTCAGCTGAAAACTCCCTGATGTTTTATCACATCAGCTCACTCACTAATTGCTTCATGGTTGTGACAAGGAATGTAGTTTTGTGTTTTTATTTTCTAGTTTTTTACAAAATCGCTTTATTGCTAACTGTTCATTGTTGATGAATTTTTAAATGAGCTTTGTAAAATAGAGGGATTTTGATAAAATATGACAGTTTTAAACTCGGATTTGGTTTAGATTTCCCTTAAAAATGGCCCATCAGAGATGAGTAGTTCAAGGACTGTCAGATGCGAGATGGTGTAATTTTGGTACATTTGTTTATGTGTTTTGAGGTTCAAACATACACATTTGTTTAGTGTTCAGCATCATATAGAACAAACAAAGCAATAAATTCTCACATGAGGCTGGAACCACTGAGTGTTTTATTTTAGAAAACTGATAAAAAAAATTATTAGTTAATCATTTAAATAGCTGCAGAATAATTTTCTCTGTCCATCAACTAGTTGATTAATTGCTGCAGCTCTTGATGCTAATTATGTGATTTGACAGACGGAAGGAGTTCACTTGTTCGGCTTGTTCCAAAGAATAAGAAAACTGACAAACCAACAGACAGTTCCAACGATCCTGCCTTAGTGTTGTGTTTCAGAAGTAAAGCGGTGGGTAAACATGCTGCAGCAGTTAAGTAGTCTGTTAAGCAGCGCTTTCTGTTAAAGGTTTAAGGTTGTTTGATCAAATCTACAAAGAAAATTACCTGTCTGTTAAATTAGACTACGTGATGTGAAGATTAAGAGTCGACTTTTAAGCACCACTGCTTGTAAGTTCGAGTTTTCTTTCTCAGTTTTTTTAGATTTTCCTCTGGTCCTGTTTAGCTTTTATGTAAAAAAATAAAAAATAAAATACTAAATTAAATGTCTGACTTGTTCCCAGAACATTGTGTGGGCAGCTTTTAAGCAGCACAGATAAAAAGGAGTGAATGGGCTGATTAGCTGAACAAATCACCACATCAGCAGGAGACTGATGTGTGTATTAACAAAACTGGAGTTTGAAAGCATTGTCATTATTTGAAATCTAAATGAGGCTGACTTACGTGTACGTGCCACCTCTGTTCTAGTACACCTCATTCTGTACTTGTTCCTTAATTTGCCGTCAGTCTATTTCTTTAACAGTCATTTTGTTTCTCCTCATAATTCCACCATAATGTGTTTTTCTGCACGTCTCACTTGGGATATTTTATTGAGATTGAAGCTTTGGCCTGATTTCACAGCGTGTACATCTCGGCATGCTGTTGTTTGCGTTTGATATACTGTGTTTACGAAGTGAGCTGATTATCAGCGCTACAGGCAACTCCTAATTTACAGATTTTGATCCAAGAGAGCTGTTGCCAGAATGGTATGTTTCATTAATGTGCTGTTGAGAGATCAGAGAAGTCTTTTCATTTTTTTTTTTACCTTTTCTTTTTGCTGCCTACATTTACATGGGCTTTGATATACTAGATGAGATTTTCAGGTCCACAGGGGAGATACTGTGTGAGGTGAAACGTAAAGGTGAATACTAGTGTTCTGAAAACCAGCTGATCTGACCTGCTGAACACAGTCCACAGTAGCAGGAGCTGCAGTAGCTGCGTCACACTATATGAAAGCTATTAAAGTTTTCAAGGCACTTCTTTTCTGAGTCTCGGCTCAATCGAATCTGAAAACACACCTACCCTACACATATTTTCACATTCAGTGTGACCTGCGCGTTACAAGGACATCATCATCTTGGATGTCTTTATTGAACACACGCCCTCGGATCCCTTTGAAATCATTGAAAAGCAAAGTTAATTCCTCATAACTCCACAGCTTGAACTCCAGATAGAGTTTTAGGAGCTGCTAATAGCTAATTCAGCATAATTTCAGTAGTGCTAATTTCAGAAAATGTAAAGAATTATAGGCTGTAAAAGTGAGGCTTACATTTTCGCTGATTGCTAAACTCACTTAGGCTGTGATGAGACTATACTGCCTGTCACATGAAATTTGATTTAAACGGTATAGGCTCATACTTATCTAATTTTATTTCAGAAAACACTGCTATTGTGTCACCTTGCTGCCGTTTTCATGACTTTGTTCGCTCTGTTTCTGTGTGACCCTGCAGTACTCCCTCTGTAATGAGCCCCTGATCGAGCTGTCCAACCCTGGAGCCAGCGGTTCAGTCTTCTATCTTACCAAGGATGACGAGTTCATCATCAAGACTGTCATGCACAAGGAGGCTGAGTTCTTACAGAAACTGCTGCCTGGATACTACATGGTAAGCAAAGTGTGTGTGTGTGTGTGTGCGCAGTGAAAACGTATGAGCGGGGGATGCTCTTTGACAGCGTGTCTAAAATGTGAATAATTTGAAGAAATTGTGCTCAACAGAGTGTGTCTCGGCAAAGACGATAAAACTCCATGTCAGAGTATTATGTCACAGTTCAAATAAGCTGCCACCGCACTTCAGCTATTGGTCTGAGAGGTTTCTTTTTTCCACCTAATGAGCTTTGACACCTAATTTCAGGTTCATGGTAGGCATCACACACACACACACAGGGTAACACAGTGAATAAGTACTGCTCGCAAATATAACAAGAGGCCCATCTGTGCAGAATCGAGTTATTCCTGCCTGTCAGTGGCCATGCATGTCAGTGTGAAGAGGCCACTCTTTCACTTAAACGCTGACCTTTCCTGATGTTCTCATTTCGAAAGATATTTTTCAGATCTCAGGTTTATGTAAGACCCTGGAAATCTCTCCTCCAAGCGTGACATCCTTTTCATATAAAGCAGACATAACGGCTCTTATCGTCTCCGACTCAAACCTCGGGCCATGCGGTTTTATAAGAGACTGGCCGGTGTATTTCAGCAGCCGGATGTACTGTACTTAAGCCTAACAGAGCATGACTTTCGCCAACAGTAGCCCACTCCCACCCCCTCCGCAGTCTGCAGGCTCGTTCTGAATGAAGCCAACCAGCAACAGCTCCATGTATGTCCATGCCGCTAATCCAGCCTCTCAGGTTCACGGCCCCTCGGCCTTGTGTTTAATAATGTGCCGACAGCCGCTGGGCAAAGACCACTGCGGGAATTCATTTAATCATTTAGGGACGTTAAAGGCTGCGGCGCGTTCACTGTGACCTTTTCCGTCGTTGCAGTTGGGCTCTGAAGCATTTTCGCAGGTGTAATTGGTCTAAGAAAGTGGTTTAATGAAAGCAGAGAGATTCAGGCTCACGTGGAGCGGCTGTAGCTCGGGGCGGTCCGAGGGAGACGGTTTTTACACTCTCACAGAAACAACAACGTAAAGCAATAACTGTTTTTTTTTATTACACGCTCGTCTGTATTCGCAGCAGACAGCATGTAGGCAGCCATTGGTGGAGCTCCGCATGTCTTCCACAGCTGACTGGCTGATGGTTGTGGGCTGGCTGAGGAGTCTGGCTCTGGGCAGCATGCAGATCACAGTGATGTAACCAACTCCACGCTGCCACTTCTCTCCCTTCTGTGTGTTTTTCCCTTCCATTATATGCCTCGTCTTTCCATCCTCGCTCACGTTTCAACGCCTTATCGCTCTCCCCGCCGCTATGAGTCTCTCAGAGTAATTTATTTCCCCTTTATCTCTCGCTCTGTCCTCCAGTTTTAATCCGTCCTCCCTCCTGCCTTCCTTTCTTGCTCATGTTTGTTCTCCATCCTTCTCCTCTCGCTCACGTGTCTGTGTTGTTGGCTGTTCTGCCCTCCTAACATTGACAGAAGGGTCGTATGTGGCTGAGGGCGGAGGGTGCTCTTTCTCTCCATGTTTTCTCTCTCTCCCGCTCTCTCTCTCTTATCGTTTTGCTGCTCTCTCCACCGGTTTTCTCTCTCGTGAAGGTCATTCACCAAGTGCTGAGCTTTTCTAACCACACAGTCCATCTTCATCCTTCATCTCTCCTCTGTCTCTGCCTCTTTCTTCCTCCTCTTTGTAGCAGTTTCTATTCCTGAATGCAGTATGTTTCCACTATATGGACCAGCGCAGCCGCTCTTTTCTCTCTGCTCTCATTTCTCTAATGGGACTGAGCTGGCCCAGGTCCCAAGGTCATAGCAGGTTTTTCTCTGAGCACCCAGCCCGACTAACCTCATTTGTTTGGATTGACTACTGAAATATTCAGATTGGTGATAGATAGGAGAGTTCTATATGGAGGCGAGGCCGTGTCATGTCAGAACGTAGAGACGGACTATTTGTTAACGTGTTGTTAAAGATGCTCATCCATGTTAAAGACTGTTTCTTTTAGAAAAGACAAAAAAATGTTCATTTCGGCACTGATTTCTTACCCGTGATTGTTGTATATGTTCAGACAAACACGGAATGGTATTTTTTTTTTTTTATATGTCTTTTATCTGTTCTGTTTTAATATCACTAACTAATTATTTCCACTACTTCTCATCTTTTTTCTTCAATTCATCAAATAAAAATATTTAAGTATCTTTCTACTGGTCTCCCAGCCTGACTAACCTAATTTGTTTGGATTGGCTACTGAAGTATTTTGAACAGATTGGCGATAAAGAGGGGAGTTCTGCATGAAGATGAGGCAGAATGATGTCAGAACATGAAGAAGTTCTTGTTAAAGATTACATTTTATTTCTGCGTTGGTGCTATGAGTTGGCATTATTGAATTATATATGACACGATATGCCAAAAAATGAATTCCATCCATCCATTATCTATACACCGTTTAATCCTCACTAGAGTCGTGGGGGCTGGAGTCTATCCCAGCTGACTTAGGGTGAAGGCAGGGGACACCCTGGACAGGTCACCAGTCTATCACAGGGCTACACTTAGAGACAGACACCAAACACACTCACATTCACACCTACGGACAATTTAGAATCACCAATTAACCTCAACATGTTTTTGGACTGTGTGGGAGGAAGCTGGAGAACCCGGAGAGAACCCACGCTGCACGGGGAGAACATGCAAACTCCACGCAGAAAGATCCCGGTGCCCCCACCGGGACGCGAACTGGCGACCTTCTTGCTGTGAGGCAACAGTGCTACCCACTGCTCCACCCTGCAGCCCAAAACTGAATTCCATTTTTAAAATTGATTCTATTATTTTCTAAATTAATCAATCAAAATATCTAAATATCTTAAAATGTCTTCTTTTGTACAAGTAACCCCCAAATATATTTAATTGGAAATCATACAAAAACAACCTATTGTTTGCTATGATTCCTTAAATGTGACTCCGAGATTAAATTGATTATTAAAACCCCTTATACAATGCATTTATAACCTGTACGAGGCATATTTTTCGATCGTTTAAAAGTAGTTTCTGGTGTTTTCACTGTATTTTTAGTCAGATTGTATTTCTGCTGTTTAGATTAAGTTGGATTTGATGTGTTTAGATTGTACCCAGACCATACAGAACTATAACCACAGTTTCAACCCTGTGACTTCCACATGTCGTGACAGTGTGAGAAAAATCTTGATTTGTGTTCACTCTCTCTTATGTAACACATCCTGGTGTGATCAGGTGGTGAATGTGTAACTGTACCCAAAGTGTATGTACACTGACAATCATGTCTTGTTTAACTGTTTGCATAACAGATATCACCTATCCTATTCCTCATGTATTTTTTGTCCCTTATAAGGTCCCATAAAGAGAAAAATGCTCCTTTGTGTTGTTAGTTTGTGTTACTCTTATATATACAGAAAACAACTTGATTTAGCAAAAACCACCTTTTTTCTCTCCCCACATAAATGTCAGCTAAATTCCTCAAATCAATTCCCATCTGATGCAGCTGCTGTAATCAATCTCAAAGCTAAATTATGATCCATGGTTTTCTCCCTCTCTTCTCTCTCCTTCTCCAGAACTTGAATCAGAACCCTCGCACTTTGCTGCCCAAGTTTTTCGGCCTCTACTGTGTCCAGTCGGGCGGGAAGAACATCCGCGTGGTGGTGATGAACAACGTCCTGCCCCGCGTGGTTCGCATGCACCTCAAATACGACCTGAAGGGCTCCACCTACAAGAGACGAGCGTCCAAGAAGGAGAGGGAGAAGGCGAGGCCCACCTTTAAGGACCTGGACTTCATGCAGGACCTTCAGGATGGACTGATGCTGGACCAGGACACTTACAACGCGCTGGTCAAGACTCTACAGAGAGACTGCCTGGTGAGAAAGACGACTGCACAGCTGCTATTTAAAGATTCTTCACTCGCCCCACCACTGCGTTCTGTTCATATAGGAACCGCAGAGAAAGGACGAGCTTAAGGGGAGATGGTGAGGGTGGCTTACTGGTTGGAGAGGAGGATCCATGCAGCACTCTTATAAAGAGTCTCCAGAGAGAGGAGGAGGGGTCCTATGCAGTCATGGTTGGAGGGAAGGATTAGAAGGAGAGTAGAAGGAAGGATAAAGTGATGAAATAATGACGCATCCCAAAGGGGAAGAGATAATAGAGATAAGGACACATAGTGCAGAAAATCTTCAAAAGGAAAAGGAATAGGGTTGGGAAAACCAGAATAGGTGCTCTGTCCTGATCAATAAGAGAAGGACTGAGAGACTAGAAGGAACGAGGTGGGAGGGAAGGAGAGTCTATTTATGAGAGTGTTTGGCATTCCCAGGATCCCTCACTATAAATTAGAGTTTGTTACGAGCAAGAGGTTTAACAAGGTGTCTGGTCTGGTAGCAGGCCTGCTCTCGTCTTGTAAATCACTGCCTCACGTTTACATTTAAAGTGCTTGGAAGAGTGTACGTGCACACACTGGCTGGCCTATATGTAGTTTATTGTATGCATGCTTGTGCACTCCATTGTTACGGGTATGAGATTCCTCTGGTGCATTAAATCTTCCATCCATCACATGTCTGTCACTCACTGCAATACACTTAAATCCGTCCGTATGTGTCCTGTGCTCAGGTGCTGGAAAGCTTTAAGATCATGGACTACAGCTTGCTGCTCGGGGTCCACAACATGGACCAGGCGGAGAGGGAGAGGCAGATGGAGGGATCCCAGGGCGACAGCGACGAGAAGAGGCCCGTGGCCCAGCAGAAAGCTCTGTACTCCACAGCCATGGAGTCCATCCAGGGAGGAGCAGCCTGCGGAGGCTCCATCGACACCGACGACACGTGAGTTCAGCCAGAGAGAGACGAGAGGCCTTCAGCAAAACAACACGGTGACAAATGTGACACTTAAAAAGATTTGAGAGTGCATATCTCTGATTTGTAATAGAAACAAAATGGAGGATGCAGTAATAATAACAGCCTGTTATTCTTTAGAACTTATGCTTTCAACTATTAACTGTTATAAATCCATCGTCAGCCCTTCGACTCCTTTTAATGATGCTTCATGTGACACTTTAAGCTCTTTCACTGAAATTCCAAACCTTTCCTTTTCGACTTAACCTGCTTTTCCCATGCAATATTCCACATGTAGACAATTATTAGTTTTTAAGTTATTTTATTAATGATAGTTGAATTGAGTTTTAACTTGTTTGCAGTGTTTACACCAACAATTGTCAGCCTCATCAGCCACACTTACGTTTTTCTCTTCGGGTAAAAGTTACCCTTTATAGCTAAAAAAAAATTACAAAAATTATATATTAGCAATCCAAGAGATTAATAACTAATATGTCAAACTGATATATTTGTAGTAAAATTGAAAAAAATGCCATACGATTAGAAAAACAGAACACTTCATTAAAATGCCTCTGTTTATGTACATTTTAGACATATTTAGACACATGGGAGCTAGTGTAGCACATTTTTAAATTAATTTGTTTTATCTGTCGTCTGTTAAAAAAATAAATGATACTAATCGTTAGAAAAATGCTGAATATTGGATCTAATAAGCGCCCAAACCAATATTTGCTCCATCCAAACACAAACATTAGGGATAAATAGTTTCATATAAACAAACTTCTACAATTAGACTTTGGAGGAAATTTTAAAGGTGACACTAAATCAGGCTACTTCACTTTTAAGTGACCCTCGAGACAAACTTCAGATCCACCCTGCAAAGCGTTCAGTCGTTTTGTGCCAGAGCTCAGGCTGTGCAGATTAAAAGGTCAGCAGGATGGCAAGAGACCAAAACCTACTAACCTGTAAAATTAAGGCAGTTAAAACATCGACTGCAGCAGGTGTACGGCAGCAGAGTAAGCAGGACTGACTTCTCACAAACACTAATTCTCTGTATCGATTTTAGTTTAAAGCAACAAGCATTTCCTGCTTGTACAACCAAGTCAGATTGCAGGCAGGAACGTCATCGGAGTTGGAGAACAAAATCAAATTACATTGATTTTCTGCGGTCAGTTTAGAAGAAAGAGGAGCGGCAAGTTTCAGTGCCTTCACTGAAACTCTGTGTGGTTATGGGATTATGGATTATTTGGTCGAAGGTGAACACTTGAAGTGACAAAAGGATTGGATGTAAAATTGAGCTCTGCAGGAGCTGCGCTTGATCTTTGCTTAACGAGACAAGAAGTCGTCAGAGGTGGTGGAGAAAAGATCTACAAGAAAGGCAGAGACGAAACGGAGCGGATAATAACATCCCCATTACAGCTGCAGTCATTTAAAACAACCCAGAGTCCTGCTGTCAACAATCAGGGCATTCTTGAGACAAAAATGCCAGACTAAGTGGTGGAGTTTGTGGTTCAAAGTAATGTTTAAATGTCAGATAACACCTTCTGTAGCCGTAAAATACATGCCAAAACCTGTTTCCCTCACTGGACAGTTTTTAGTGTGAATGTAAAACGTTTTATTTGCTTTCTTTCTTCTTTCAGGATGGGCGGTATTCCAGCTGTTAATGGAAAAGGGGAAAGACTTCTTCTCTACATCGGAATCATCGACATCTTGCAGTCCTACAGGTGATCAGCACGGAAACAATGTGATGAATTACAGTCACTTCCTGTCCCCAGCTATACGTATGACTGAGTGAAATAAATACATACTGTACCTTCCTGCAGCAGCAGCGTGTTTGAAGAGATTAAGCTGTTCCAGTGTATAAGCACAAACAGCACGTTTAAGCACATTTAAAGACGTCAGCCTGCAGGGATGTTGCATATTCATGACCTTAATATACTGTATATGACATGTTTTACATGACTTCAACTGTGCTTCTCTTTGTTTCTGCAGGCTAATCAAGAAACTGGAGCACACGTGGAAGGCTTTGGTTCATGACGGAGTGAGTTTTTAAAGCGTTTTATGTGAATCCATTAGTCAGATGCAAGAACAGATCTGATCAACTGTAGGTCTGAATTTGTTTTCTGATCTCGTAGTTGTGAGACGTTTTATGGGCTTCAAGTTTAGCAAACTTTGATTTACAGGAAAGTCTCTTTTTCATCTCTTTTCCTCTTCACACCCACATAGATAAACCTCTAAACATGTCCTAAGCACTTTAGTCTGTTCAGAAACATTAACATCTGCGTGTGTGGTTTTGATTTAAGCTCATTAGAATCCAGCTTTATGGATTACAAATGTTTATTATATGCGTGTAACAACAGCCACAAGTTTTGAATAGAGGTAATATTTTATTATTGTTGCATACTCATATGAAGTTAATCCTCATTATTTTCTGCCATTGTAGTGAAGATTAGCATTTACTAAGCTTTACTCAACTCAGTTGATTAAACTTTTATTTGTTTGAGAAAGAGACACACTTGTTTTTCTGAACCTGAGTCAGTTCTGTTTTCAAATTATTTTCCAATTTGAAGTAAAGGTTTATACTTTAGCTTACAATAAAAGAAATGATTCAACCCCTTTGTTCATTTTGAAAAATATGTGGGCCCTAACAACTTAATATCAACAAATCATGACTGGATTAATTTATGTAGTGTGTACTTTTTATAAACAAACAAGTCCAGAGTCACTAAGACTGGCAGCTCCTACCAGCCCACACAGTTTTTTTATATGCTCTGTTGCCAGGTTTGATTTTATTGCTACAGAAAATCGTTTTTTTATGATTCCCCCCTTTGTCACAGTCTTGTATAAATGTAGCAGAATTATTCAAAGTATCCCAGAATGCTTTATGGTATCAAAGTAAAATGGTAATAAGACATTCACCCCTTTATATGTAGTACTTTCAGTTATACCTAGATATTGACACTGCAACTTTACTTTGCTAAAACAGCTAGATAATGTGATTTTAGATGTATTATTTTTGCAGTACTTAAATATGTCTTATCTGGAAAACAGCATTTTGAAATGGGATTATGGCCAGCTTTTTAGCTCCATTTCAGAAAGCATATCTGCAACTATCAGAAAACCTATATCATTCACATAAACTGGTGTCAACATGAAGCAGGAGGTTGGATAATTTTACATGGAAATACTGCACATGATGGGCAACAATGATAGAAAGTAACACCAGCGATTTCTTCAACTTCCCAATAGTTGCTAACGTTGACAGCAAGATCAGCAACAGCTCTAATTTATTTTTCATGTTGAATTAACCACTTGTAGTCAAGGTGGTTGTTTTCTTCTCAAACAGTCACGTGATACAAGCGTGACAAATCAGGAAAAGCAACTAGACTAAAACAGTAGAAAGCAGTGCTAGCAATGGTACTGAGGCACATGTGATAATGAAATGTTGCACATTACATTGACACTGTTGTACATGAAAGTGAAATATTTCACGTGTAGTCAAAATGTTGCAAAGTTTCTGCCCGCCCAGACGACAACACAAACCTGCGATTTTAGAAAGTCTCCATTTTAGGACTGCTAAAACGCTGGATGCAAGGCATAAACGTAGCAGAGGTTATTCGTTTTAAAATGACAGCATATTAGCGTGGATGTAGCCTCAATCTCCCTCCTCTATCACCTCCAGATCCCCCAAAACGCCTCCCATCTCGTCATCCACTCAGGATTTTACGCTGTGCATCATCACAAGTCTGCTCTCAAGATAGAATCAGCCCTATCAATCTCCCTACCCCCCCTTCTCCTTACTCACGCCACTCTCCCACTCTGAAACACTCTCATACGCAAGATATGTGTGGGAGATCAAACAGCCTCCCGTGCGTCACCGTTGCTGACAGTAATGGCTACTCCACACTCTCACCATGTTACACACAGCTGGTGGATGCACTCAGAGTTGTTACTCATATCGAGCAAACAGTGATGCTGAGACAAAAAATCTAATAAATGAGATGCTGGATGCTGTCTTTTCACTTCCTCAGTCTCCTCCATCCCTCCTGTCACTATAAACCAAACACCAAGTGTCATCTGTCAGTCTGCTGGCGGTGTTATCTCAGTCTGCTGAAACATAAATAATGAAGGGACATGTCTGTAGCCTCGTCTGACTGTGTTTCCGTGTGTCTGTTGCCGCATTTGTATGTGTCGCTGTGGTTTGACCCAGAGAAAAGCATTACACAACTGGGACGCTAAAAGGCCTCGTAGACGGTTTTAATCTACTGTAAGCACCGGTTTGATCATTTTACTCGTGCACCATTTGTCTCATTAATCTCTCCCGTCTCTCCCTCAGGACACCGTATCGGTCCACCGGCCGGGCTTCTACGCCGATAGGTTCTTCAAGTTCATGAGCAGCACGGTTTTCAAGAAGAGCTCCTGTGAGTTCAATTTACACGGAGATGCTGCCTTACATAGTCAGACAGAGCTGTGTGGGAAGAGCCACAGACGCAAATGTCAGATGCCAGGCTTCTGCGTCTTTTATTACCGAGCCTTGATAGGAAAATCAGATACAGGAGCTAAAAGCCTTATTAGGTGCTGCTTAATGTCATGTGAGGGAGAAAAACATCAGTTTGAGCCTTGTGCAGCTTTTTATTACCGTAGAATTCTAAAGCCTGTTTTTTTATGAGGCTTTTCTAACAAGGACGCAGGAGTATGAATGTGAAGTTTTCAAAGCGAGATACAAATTTGTGCTTCAGTTTGAAGTTTACATGTACAATTTGGAGTCTGTGAGGCATGTACCCAATCAGAAATAGATTGATATTAGTTAACAGTTCAAACTAACGTATTTGTCGTTAGTCTGACATTGAGATTCGTTGTGATTTGGGTGAACTGACCCTTTAACAACTTTTTGGCTTTGTCAGTTTTTTTTTTATGACTTGCAGATTTTCTTTTGCAATATAACATTCTGTAAATATGTCACTCATTTTTAAAACACACAGCTTTCCCAAATTCCTTCTTCTAATCAAACAAGAGAATAAAGGTAACCAAAAAACAAAGGAGCTTTCTTAGAAATAAAAAGTAAAAATGCACAAAAACAAACAATTTAATTCTGAGGGATTTAGTGCAATTGTCCAAATGAGCTTCAACAAACATTTTCCAGAGATTAGGTTAAAAAAAAGAGTTCACACGTGTGTTTTCGCTGTTGTTTAATGCATCACTCTGCTTCGTCCCTCAGCTCTGAAGTCCTCTCCATCCAAGAAGGGTCGTGTGTCACTGACGGTGCCAAAGTGTGGCGGTCCGGGTGCCGCCTGGTCAGCCAGCCAGCTGCCCTGCGAGAGAGACGAGAATATCTACGACCTGAGAGGAGCTCGCAGCTTCCCGACACTGGAGGACGAGGGTAAATACATTAAATGCAATCACATGAACCAAGTCAGGCAGATAGGCGGAGGCAGATCAGATAGGAACAAAGGCTACGATTGATGATTTTTGCCTGTAAGAAGATAAGATCTTGCCTTGTTTTTCTGAGCTGTGAGCTGCTGCTCTGCTCACAGAATGTCAGTGAAATGTCCTTCAGGCCAGACAAATAAGGAAGAAGGAAGGTTAAAGCCCCCCTTGTTTAAAAAAAAAATAAAAATCATTGGCAACCACCTGGTTTGTAGCTGTAGCCATGGGAAACAAAAGCAGAACAGCCTGTGCGAAGAAGTGAAATAAATGCCAACAAATATGAAAAAAAGAAAGCTGAGAGACACCAGCTTTGTCTGAAATCTCTGTACATGTGTCTGTCTCTCTCTGCCAGGGCGGCCAGATCTTCTTCCATGCACTCCTCCATCTTTCGAGGAGGCCACCACAGCATCCATCGCCACCACTCTCTCTTCCACCACCTCCCTGTCCATCCCTGAGAGATCTCCCTCCGACACAGCCGAGCACCCCCGCTACAGGTACAGGCACCCACACGTTTATTTCAGATGGTCATAAGGAATCAAATCTTGTGTGGTTTTTTCATCTCAGCTTGTACAAATGTAGCAGAATCTTTCAAAGTATCCCATAATGTCTATATAAAGTGTCAAAGGTATAAAGGCAAAATGATGATAAAAAAGTCAAACACATTCACCATCCATCCATCCATTATCTATACACCGCTTAATCCTCACTCGGGTCGCGGGGGGGCTGGAGCCTATCCCAGCTGACTTAGGGTGAAGGCAGGGGACACCCTGGACAGGTCACCAGTCTATACACATTCACTACTTAATTTGAATTTAGTTTCAGTATTGCTAAGATACTAAGATATAACACTACAGTTTTATTTTACTTGAAAGTTCACTTAACTGTCCACAAGTGTGACTTTAGATATATTATTTTTGCTATGCTCTTGTGTTATAATATACACTCAATATGCATTTTCTTTTAAAAATAGCTTTTTAAATTGGGCACGATCTCCATCCAGACAAACGTTTCAGTTCCTGCATAGAGGAGTTTTTGTTGCCTTCTAAGCTGGTGTTACTCAACAGCAAATAAAAATCCCCAGCCAAAATGATGACAACTGAGTATATAAAAGCTTTAGTAACTGTGGTTTCATTTACTGAAGCATAATGCATATTTTTGTTTTTTTAAATGGTCAGAAATAAGCAAATGCACAGATTTCTGTCAAATAAGGTAACAGACTTGTTGAACCAATTGTTAGATTAGCATAGCTTCAACTTTATTGTTATCATGCAGCGTAATGAGACCAAAAAATGCAGTTTAGCAACCGACCAGAAGTGCAAAAGAAGCAGTAAAGTACATTATGTACAGTATGTTGCAGGACAAACAGACTGAGCAGCATGGACAGAATGGTATAAAACACTAAGTATATGAACATCTAGCTGTGGATACAATATAAAATAGATCATCTAAAAGTACAGAGAAATATGTAGTGTGGATAGTATATGAGCAGTGTGAACAGATAGTATAAACTAAATTATTCTTACTGTTGTCTGTTCAGTCAACCCCAAAGGCCCATTCTGAGCCAGAAAAACAATTCAGTATGAAATGCATCATAACGACCATCTCATCAGGATGAAATGAAGCGTCCACTTTCCTCTTTCAGTCTCCTTTATTCTGTTGTGTTTTGTTTTAGTATGATTTAGCATTATGTAGAAATTGTGTCACAAACTAAACATCACATTTAGTTTAACAGTTAAGGACCCACATACGGTGCATGTTAGCTAGCTGCTTCAGTCCTCATGCGCAGCTCGTACTGACAGTGTTTCCTCTGTCTCCAGGAGGCACACCCAGTCTCTCAGCCACGACGGAAGGTGAGTGGAATCATAAATGTTTTTAAACAGCTGCAAAGTTTGTGATGCTCGCTAGCTCCGTGTTTTCACAGCGTTACATGTTTCTGGGTGTGGTGGGCGGGTGGCAGAGAGAATGTGAGGTCAGCCTGTTGGTCAGCGTGTTTATGAGTAGCCTCATTCTTCCTTGTTGCTAAGATGTGGCTGCGTGTGTTCTGGCGTTTCATTTCCTCCGCGCATGTTGTTCTACGTGTGGCTGTTTAGGACCCAGGAGGAGCTTCGTGTGCGCGAGGAGGACCAGCAGACCATCACGGTGGAGGTGGAGCTGAAGAGACACGACAGCGAGCCCACCATCTCTGTCCCGCAGCCTTTACCTGAAACTAGGTACTCCACCCACACAATGACTAACTGTGTGTAGAGACGAGTTAGGTCATTTCCTAATAACATAGCAACTCCCAAATGGTACAGCTCATCACAACAAGTCTCAGAGAAATAAATGCACTTTATCCCAGTCTGTTTACATGAACTAAGTATCAGACAACATGTAGCCACCCAATACAGAGTCGGATGAAATATCCTAAACATAAACCATGCCACTATAGACTTCACCATTAATTCACTGTCGGTGAATCAGCAGTGAGAAGTGTTACCGGATGGCGTCATCGGTGTCTAGCACATAGGCTGTATATAGAAGATGAATGTAGCCACAGTGAGCTCACTCGTTGGTTTGCGTACCACCGTTGTGAAGCTTTCAGTTTCAGACTGTCACCATTTAGTTGTTTTTGGAATATGGACACAGCTATGGCTCTATTCAGTCACAGTGTAGCCCCGCTATAAAATATACCTTCCTTTATCTACTAGTTTATGTTAATTAGAACCATCATTTACTAAATAACATTAAGAAAATGTTCACTAAGACAATAAATTAATTGAGAAGTAGGGTCAGTTTTCATAAACTTCTGTTCAGTCAGACTTCTGTTTGCAACCAGAGGAGTCGCCCCCTGCTGGCCATTAGTAAAATTATTATAAAATGATTATTATAGGCTAGGTTTTGTTCATTTTTTTCTTTGTTTTTTGCAGTCTATAGATGCGCTCATTCCTTTGACTTTATTGCTAAAACATGGTAGATTTTCAGAAGTAGAAGTATTCAATATTTAATAAGGAAAAACAGTGTTTCAACAATTTGTTCTATTTGCCCTTTAGTCAACCTCTTTAGTCAACATCACCCTTTGGGGGGTCTTGACCTCAAAACCAACTAACATGAGTTTCATTTTTCATAATGTCAAAACATACAAGTCCAACATAAATCAGAGATACATGATACATATAAATGATCCCCCTCTTTGTTTGTCGCAGCGTGTTTTCATATTTGGCCCGCACACATCCTTAATTTTGAATGTCTTACACCAAACAGCCCATAAATAATACAAAATGACCCACACAAACTGCTCTGTGCCCTTTTCACTGTAAACAATGAGAAAAAAAGAGGCCTCTCTTTTATACATGTGACCCCGATACAGGACGGATAAGCTGCAGAGTCCTCCATGACCCCAATCATCTCCAGTATATGACTCAGTTTGATGCTGCACTATAAATAACCTGCTGCCGGTGTCTCACCTGGACTCAGCCAGCTGTTAGATTAGCAAACACACACACATATATACACACACCCAGCTCCACATATACGCGGCACACAGATAACAATGAAAGCAGCTTAACCTATTTGTTTATTGGGCTCAGGGGTCCCCTGTTATGGACAAAATAAATGCTGCAGGTGCTGTTTGGAGCAGGCCTCGACAGTAATTAGGTTATGAGAAAGTGCGCACATGCATGTAAATTTGTCTTTTTTTTTTTTTTTTGTGAGACGGCACTGTGAGCCAGATATTGGGCCAAAGAAGCCGTGACATGGGGGAACCAGCCAGTGGAAGTAGGGCAGTGGGCCAGGAAGCCCGCAGGCCTCAGGCTGCTCCCATAAAGCCGAGATGACCTGACAGTTCGCAACCTAGATTTTAATTAACAGAATTATTTTGGCATTTTAGTTTTACTTGAAAGTTAAACTGCATAGAGACACTTTAGACTCTTTGGGTCCTATCAAACAAACTAAATCCTGAAGAGACCCAAACAAAGCTGAGGTAAACGTTGGAGTGGGGTTCAGATTTGCGAGGTTAGGACAGTGAGGAATCGGGGTGTGGTAGCCGAGGGAAACCAAGTGAATAATTGGGTTTGATGCTGAGAAGGCAGCGGCGAGACATATGGCCTGGGGGTCTGGAAGGAGCTGGCGGGGGAGCAGCGAAGGGGCAGCCAAGAGCAGCCAAGACAGCACGACTGAATTAAACCATCTGAACAAGTCGACTCCTCTGAGCTGCCTCTAGCTCAACTGCAGCTGCAGAGACTGATTGGATGGAAGTGAGAGTATGGAGTTGGAGTGGAGGAAATGGAATTGGGATGATTGATTGGGAGAGAAAAAATACAAAGAGAAGATAAGTAGAAAAAAATTACGTGTGAAGGCAGGCAGGGGAGAGAAAAAAGAGGAACACAATAGAGAGATCAGAGGTGAAATGGGGTGAGGTGAGATGGGGTGAAATGAGGATCAATTTGCATGGCAACCACCATCCTGTCCCTCCCGTTCCTTGTTTATGCAGCCAATCAGTTCTCTGCTTGAGATGCCAAGTCTGCTTTTTTGTGCTTCAGTGGCTAACTGCTGGGCTTTTCCTCTGCTGGAGCTAAGCTCAGTCGCAGAAGCTGAGAAAGCAATGTGGATGCGACTAAATCCTTCCTAATAGTTGATGATCTGGCCAGGAACAATAAAGGATTGTGGCAGCGGACAGCCAGCTGGCAACTCTTTGAGCTTAAGCAGCTAAACCACAAACACCCACACACACCCACACACACACACACACACACACATAAACACACACAGCTGCTGAATTTCAGTCGGAGCCAGTTTTCTGTAATAGCTCAGTCCCGTTCGTCTGCCCTGCTGCAGGGAAAGTGGCTTATGGCAAGTGACCCAATTAAAGGCTCTTAATGTCACTAACTGCTGTGTGTCTGCGTGTAGGTGGGCGTGTGGACAGGTTGTTTCTTTTGTCCTTAAACTCTGCAGGATACAGAGGGAGGGATGTGTGAGCTGAGCTGAAGTGACAGGGCCAGGGCAGGACAACAGCGGACGAGTTATTGTAGTTTGACGGCTAATTTGGCCTCCAACACGATGAACAGTTGCAGCAGCCGTTTCTGTAATTCACAGCTCACAGAGGCAATTGGGGTACTTTAACCCATATTGTACGTGTCCACAGGATCTGTCACTGCCACACTTCCTCGTCTGTGTAAGTGGATGTGCATTGGTTTCTAGTATCTCCGTGTTATTGAGGCGTCAAGTTGCCTGCTCCAGTGCGACGCTGCGCTTCTGGAAATTTCCTAAAAAACATAATATTAGCCATTGCTGATCTAAAACGAAGGCAGACTTGGCAGCTGCAGGGCTTCTTTCTTGCCTCAAATGTTTTCAGAAACACATTTTGATGAACTATTGTTGTAATTGCTGAGAAGATTTCCAAACAAGCCGCTGTGTTTGCCCAGTTTTAAATCTGGGAGCAGACAGTCCACGAGTGAAGCGTTCATCCAATCAGATGCAGCCAGTGTTTGTGTGGTTGGAGGAGGGGTGTACTGGTTTTATGTCGGAAGGCACCTGTCAGAGTCCAGACCCTCATGTCCGAAAACGCCCCTGTGAATACCTACCATTATTGTCTGATTGCCTCACATGTCGTTCTCCTTCTTAGTCGCATATTTTTAGGTTCAGACTTTCCAGAACTTGTCAAAGGATCATGGTGTTTTGGACTTGTAGCAATGCTAGTTTTCTGTATATCCAATGATACAGTTTTAACTAAAGGAACTGCTAATAGCTCATTTATTGTCCTTTACAGTTTGATTTTCTAACAATCCCCCATCTGTTTTTCCACAGTGAGGTCCAGGAAGCCGCCGGTGCCGAGGCTCCAGACGCCGCTGCAGCAGAACCTTCTGCTTCTTCGTCAGCACCTGAAGCGGCCTCGTCCTCCTCCTCGTCCGCCCCAGCTGCTCCCTCCTCTCCCGGGCCGGCCGAGGAGGCCCCGTCGAGTCCCAAGGTGGTGGTGGAAGCCGACAGGGCCAGCCAGGTGTCCGGCTCAGGGTGCACCAGCCAGGCTTCAGTCGATGACGACGATGACGTGCCAATCACAGATATCTACTTTGTAAGTAGAACCCTTGTTTAATGAAAACCACCTCAGACATGCCCCCACAAAGAAAACAGCAACTTCCCACAAAACAGCAGCTTTCATCACCTCTGTTTTTCTTAGTTTGACATTTTTATTTAGCCATCACATCGACACATATATTCAGTCAGGGTCAATATGTTTATGGTTGATGAGTCAGTGGACTGAGCTGCATGATGCTGTTCTACAGAGGCGCTGACACGAGGACCGCTGAAAGGGAGTGGAGGCTCAGGCTGGTATGAGAAAAACAGTGTGTGCAGTTACTGTTTGCAGTGTGTGGTGCATTCAGCTAAAGGAAATGTTTCAGGAAATATTTTGGGAAATTTGCTTACTCACTTTTTTGCTAAGAGGTAAATTAAAAGAGTCGTCCAGTCTTTACGTGAAGCTAAGTCTGACATAGCTTTACATTCACTTACAGACCTGAGAATGGAATCGATCTTCTAATCTACCTCATAACTCCCTGAACCCCAAGCAGTTTCTGGGTGTTTCACATTTTTACTCACTGTGGGCTCATTTTTCCAGCAATATCAGAACCCTGCAACTCTGTGGAAACAGAACAAGTATTACTAGAAGTAGAGAGAACTCAAAACAGCCTGATGTGCAGTGTACCAAAGTTATAAAGGCAAAAATCATTGTTTTAAAAAGAGAAAAGATTAAGTTTAAATTTGTGTTTGTTTTATAGAAATTGGAAAAAAAAAAAGTAGAGTCAACTTGTACCATATATTTCAAATTAGGAATAAAAATGGTGACTCTCCATGATACAGATATTTTACTGCTTAAATTTTTTATTTGTTTCCATACTTGTCTCCTATCTGCTCTGTGTAAACACAGTCTGCAGTTCAGTCCAACTCGGCCAAATACTCTCTGAATTTTTCTCATGTAACTGTTGTTCAAAGCCAAGTCTCTCAGAACTTCTCCTTTGCACAAAGGAAAGCAGAATTTTTAGTTTTTTACAGATTCTAGTTAGTGAAAACGCTTTATTTTTGGCAATTTTTTATCGAACAGGATGACATGTCACAGATGATGCATTCAAGGACCATCAGAAACTTGAAAATAATTCCTTTTGTTTTTCTAGTTTCTGGCTTTGCTAAATGGTGTAATTGTAGAGCTTTTTTTTTTTTTTTTTTTTTTTTAAAGGCAACATGCATTTCAAGCCCACTGCCAGGTTTTGGGGTTCAGAGGATTAATAAAGAAGCATATTTCCCAAAATGTTGGACTGTGATTAAACACAGTCTACTGCAGTGTGCACTCTGACTGGAAGAGTTGGTTGTTAATAGCATGTACACCTTCACTTTGCTGTTCCTGTCTGTATTGATCTTTAACAAGGCTTCAGGCAGCCAGAGTGGTGGATTTTGTGTGAATAACAGTCAGAGCTATTACGGTTCACATCAGTCCAGCGTCTAGGATCGTCCTACTAAAAAGCAAACAGCTACTATCAGGTAATGTTGTGTTGGCAGTTCTAAATGAGCCCAAAAGCACGGGTATAAATGAATGTATGAGTGTCAGGTGGAGGATGGCGAGCGGAGCCAGTGATCACAGTTACAGATAGAAACGTTCCCGCCTGGCCGAACGCCTGCTGGGTGTCTCCTGTCGGGAATCAAACACCCTCTAATGTGCCATGAGAAATCCTAATGACCAACAGGTTAGTCAGTGAGCTCCCTCAGTTATTTAACAGCGCTCTCATCTAACCTGCTCTGGCGGACGCCCAGTTCATGCTTCAAAAGGAGGCGATCCGCGCCGTGGGGGTCCGTAGCGCCGCGTGAGACAAAGTGACACTGTACACATCCTGAAGTGTAACTACACAAACGTGCCGCAGGCGGTGCAGTCGCAAGTAGGGAGTGGCCGGGAGAAAGCACATCGCTGTATCCGCAGTTAATGCACTGCCAAAAGAATCCAAACTGAACTCTAAAAGCCCCACATATCTCATAAAGATTAAACTGCATCTCTACAACATCACTTAGTTAGGTCGTTCAGCAGCTCATCATCCTTCTGCTCCCTCTCCGTTTCCCCTCATCGCCATCACTTCTTTTCCTCCGACGCCGCACACAAATCAGGTTTCTGCATGATCGCACAACCTGCCTCCTCCGCTGATTAATGCCCGAGGCGCCGATCCACTGCGTTCTCACATAAAACACAAGAGCCGTATTTTTATAATTAGTTCTCATATGTTTCAGAAGTACATTCTGAAGTAGTTAAAATCTTATAGTGGAGAAATGGCACTAATAATCATAAATACTTTATGAACTATAAGACAGACTGAGCACAGCAAACAATTTACAGCAGTACTGCAACAAACTGTAAAGGTTAAGTGCAGGTGTATTTTCCTGAATATGTCTGACGTTTCTGCACATTTAAGCAACTTGTCCCTGAGTTTAGCGTGACATTTGGTTTGGTTATATTTACATAACTGCAAGGATACAAGAGGTGGAGTTTTTGCAAGAGAACAGTCACTAAATAGTCACTAATTTCTGCAAGGGTGCACAAAACCAGTCTCTCCTGCTGGCCTCTGTTCAGTCAAACATGCTGGTCTTAAAGGATTTTAATGGCTTTTAATTATACAGTATCTATAGATTGAAGGAAATTTAATGTAAGAGGCGACAGCATTGTGGAAAACGCAGCTCCTGGTGTAGCTGTGAGATTGAGCCGGTTGTTCAGGACGCAGGTGTAGACAGGTGTGTGGGTGTCATCACTTCACAGGTTCCTCAGAGTGGCTTTGGTCTGAATTATTCAGCCGCTACCAACAGTCTCCACATTCACTTTTTATGATTCCCGCTCTGCTCTCCTTCACCTTTTGCGCTCCATATCCGGTTGTTTTTTCTTCTTTTGTCCGCCCTCCGTCATCCTCGCTTCAACTCTCAAATAATTCTCACCTTTCCCGGTTTAATCTAGTCCCGAAGCTCTCTCCTCCACTTCTCCTTCTTTCTTCCCCTCTTCCTCTGCATTTTCTCGCTGATGCGATTGTCCTCATGAGTCATAATGAAAGCGGTGAGATAGTAGTGTTGTATGGAAGAGGGAAATGAAAACAGAGCGGCTGCCAAACTTGTGAACCTATCCGTCACCGCTGACTCATCCAGTGCGTCGCTGCTGGAGTTGCACGCGTTCAGAACTATCTTTTTTCATTTTCACCTCAGCATGCTGTCTTTTTTTTTTTTTCATTGTGTTATCTCACCTTTTTTTTTTTTTTGTTCGCTCCCCCATCTCTTTCTACCTCACTTCAACCCTTCATGTCTTGTCTTTGTTTGTCCGTGTGCCATCTTCTCTTGCTGTCAGTTTCCTGATGGGAGGACCTGGGTGGTCTCTCCCTTCCGAGAGAGGAGGAAATGCCATTCTGGTTGGCCTGTAAGTGATAAGAGAGTTAGACGGTACTAGCCTTGCTGCTGTCCTGGTGTTTGACTAGATTAGTCCTGTGTGCGTTTAATGAAACATGATTACAGTGTTGAGAGGAAACAAGATGTTCTGGAGGGAACCACAGTTTGTTATGATGTTTTTGTGACTGTGTTAAAACTGAAATTGAAAAAAACTTCCCCCATGATGAGGTAAACAAAAGACAGGAAGCTTCTTATTTCTTTTTTTTTTTTTTTTAATCCTATTTTGAAATCTCCATTTGTTTCCTCACTCACTGGCAACTTGCCGCATCCCTCTTTTTGCACCTGAGCTTTGTGTGTCAACAAGTGTGACTGCGACATCACCTCACACCACATCCACCTCCATCACTGTTACCAGCACACCGTGTTGCAGCTGCTTCCCTCCCTTAAAGAGCTGCTGGTTTTCTACCCTTAGCGAGGCTTTATGGAGACCCTGGACAACACCGAGTTCAAACCGATGCGACGACACAAATTGAAAGAAAAACAAAAAAAAAGCACGTTTGCTTGTTGGAAAGGAAAAAAACACAACGACATCCTGTTCCCTTTGCTTTGCTTTGACTGAGGATGCTTTCTGTGTCTCGACTGTCCCGGCATCCTGGCTGTTTCTCCCCATTCCCGTCTTCTCCTCCTCCTCCTCCTCCTGCTCCCTCATAACTCCTGCTTGGCTGATGCAGCAGCTCATCCCTTTGCTGTGTTACACTTCACTCGGCGTCCGAATGTTGCGAAACACCCAAGACTTCAAACACACATCAGTAAGATAAACATTGGCTCAGCTCTGCCAGGATTAACAGATCCTTCTAAGCACCTTTTACGCAGTGTTATGTCAGATTCACACTTTCCGATGTGTCTCAGAAACATTTCCTCCTTTATGCATCCCTAATTTTCATTTCCTGTCTTGTCTTTTCTCCTGTGATCTCCTGTGTCTTTCTCTCCTGCCTGCCCCTGCTGCTTGTCTCTGTGCCTCTGGCCTTTCCTCTGTCCCTCTGGCCCCCTCTGCTGTGGTGGGTGTGTAAAAACAGCCTCCAGAGGACAGGACCTGGGTGTACTCTCCGCTACACTATGGCTCAGAGTCTAAGGCCCTGCCAGATGGGGATTGGGAAAGAGAGACAGTAAGTGAGAAGCATCAGACTAAAATGTAAAAAAAAAAAAAGAAACACAGGAAATTCCCTTAGACGAGGAGTTAAAATCAGACCGTGTTGTGCTGATTTGTTCATCCGGGGAGCACGGAAAGGATGAGCTGTAACGTTACACTGAGTAAGAAGCTTCTGTGTTAACTGTAGACAAAAGCTTCTCAGGTCCCAGAGTCCATTACTGCTTCCAGAGTAGGTTTTCGTGTAGGAACCCACCCCTACATTACAGCATTCATTTTTCATTGACAAGTGGGTGGGAATGGTCACTTACTGCCTGCGTGATCATTCAGTCCACAACCAGCCATCCCGTGTCCCTCCAACAACAAGCTGCTCAGAGTTTAAAACGCATAAAACGTCGGCCGTGTGAAGCTACTCACGCACCACCGGACTGCCGTGGCTCACGCTGCTAGATGTTCACGCTAAAAACTAACCTCACAAGAGTCACATTTTACTGATCAAGACATCAGAAGTTGTTTTTTTTGCAATGTTAATCCAATAATGCATTTAAATTTTGACATAAAAGCTAGCTACCTGTTACAATTCAAAGGTTAGAGAATGAGATGACATTACCTGGTTGTCCTTGGCTGGCTGCATTTGCCCGTATTCTAGTTCACACCATGCTGATGAAGTGTCATCAATCACTGACTGTTTTTTCTAACTCATTTTGTTTTGTCATCTTCTTATACAAGGCATTAAAGCACAAAGCCTGAACAAGTTTTCTTGTTGTGAGACAGAAGAATTAAAGGAGATTTTATAAATGTAAAAATACTCAGCTGCAACATCTAACACCAGAATAAAAGCATTTGCTTTAACTGCAGCTTTATGGAGAAAAGAAAAGAATGGGCTATTGGGCTTCTTTCTTTTTCTTTAGTTTTAAATAATCTCTTTGCTTCTTTTTTCTAAATTCCACAGTTGGTGAGAAACATGAACTAAACAAGTGCTGATGTAGACTAAAGAGCAACTTGCACGTTGGCAACCCAAGTGATTGAATGTGTAGGAAATTCAAGCTAGATTTTGGAGGACAAAAACAAATCTGTGCATGAAATTGAGTAATATTTAGACCAGTTTTTGTTGGAGAGTGGAATACTCGTCATAAGAAACAAATTTTTTTAACAAAAGGGAGATCGTCCAGTTTAACACCAAGAGCTGTGGATCCTAATAATAGTTTTGACATTAAAGTAAAGAAAGTGTTCATACGCGTTTGACGGATGAAAACATCAGCCACCAGTCATATCCTGCTTGTCTAAAATAAATCGACTTTACGTTGTACAAGAGAAAAGAGAGATGGGAGAGAGCTGACTAATTTATAAGCTTACAAACATAAAAGACGACACTTACAGCACACAGTTCGCCTTTTCATAGACTGGATCTGCAAACATTAGTCCTGCTGGTGTCGGTACCAGAAGCAGCTGCTGATGGTGGAGTTGAAGCGTTTGAGTGTAAGCAAAGAGCCAAACCTGTCAGTCATCCAGGTTTAGACGTCCCATCTAAACCTCCATCGTATCTCCAACAACATCATTCATTTGTCTAATATTTGTGACAGATGCAGCAGTGAAACCCAAATTTCACCTGCAAAAAAAAACCTGGCTCAGCTTCATTGTTAGGAAAAGTGTGAACGCCTGAACAATAATTGATGCAAGCAATTAGCAAGAAAAGACCAACTTTGTAAATCACAGCTGGTCAGACTCACTATCTCCTGCTCTTGTACGATGAGTCCCGTATGTGACTTATTATGACATGTTGTGGAAAAGCTTTTTAAGAGCACTGCCCAAAATGCCTGCTTTTTAATTTCTCATCATTTCTGCCTTCATGCTTCATAAAACATTAAAAACATTCACTTTGAATGCATAATTAACTAGAAATATTAAACATGAATTTAGTAAAAAATTCAGCCTGCAAGTTGCTCTTTCCAGCGTATTACAAGAAGTCTTTATTAGATTAGATGCAGGTAGATCCACACCAGTCAGTCAGCCGGCTGTATCCTACAGGGAGCACAAACTGCCGCCGTGTAAAACCTCTTTGATGTGTAATAGATGAGTGCATGTTCACTTTACCTGCCATTAAGGATTTCAGGGGTGTTTGCTATGTTTATTTAAAAAAAAAAAAAAAGATTGCTGCCTGTGCCCACCGTCCTATTTTTCCTGTTTCCTTTTCATTTTATAAATGCACTTTGATTTGCCGGCTCAGTGTTGCACCTCATTAGTAAGTAATGCATTAGAGGAGCCTTACACCCAGGGGCAATGAGAGTGTTTACAGTCTTCTGAATACATTAACTGTTTGACTGTCTGTCTCCCGCAGTAAACCCTGTTCTCTGGCAGAGAGGAGTGAACGTCTCGGTGGAGAGGACTCGCCAGTCTGAAGTCCAGACCTCAGTGGTAGCAGCGCGATCTCTGTCTGAACCAGGATTTTTAACATGCATACAGAAACACACTGAGAGGAAAAAGTGACTTGAGAACCAGAGGGGGATTCAAAAAAAAAATAACAAAAAGAAAAACAAACCCGACAGTGAGGACGTCACTGATTTCCAACCATCCCTGCCTTTCACCCTCGACCCTTGAAATTTATTATATCGATTTAATAATTCTGTGTATGTGTGACATCGTGCGTATAAGGCTGCGGTCTTATATGTTTGACTTACTGTTTGTTCTGTTTCACGCAAGCACAGCCCTCCAACAGACTTCAAACTGCTGAATCCGCAGAGCAGCACACGCAGCTGTGAAGTGAGCGGAGCTGCTGGTTCTGGAAACGCCCCCACGTCCATTTTTACTAATCATATGCTCGGTTGTTGCTTAACATGGAAACACAGCAGCTCAGGAGGTCTCTGAAACCTGCATGGCCAGCAGCCTTTGTTGGTGGATTCATGAGTTTCAAGATGCTTCGCTGCAGGAATACTGTTAAAGTTTTGGTAGAAGAGTTGATGTTGGTCCTCATGAGATCAAATAAAACCGTGTCCAGCTTATAATTGGTGGTCAAACATGCAAAATTTCTACGTTTAAGCTGCCGATTGTATCATCATGTAACAGAATTTTAAAGCTTTTAGGTTTAAATGAATGTCTGTCACATTCAAGCCGAGGTTACACAATACCGATTAAGCCCGTCAACATCATGTAAATCTTCATGTGTTTCACAATCGGGCGTCTGTAGTGACATTCCTGCACATTAATTTTACATCAACCAGCAATGATTAGTTTGCCAGAAATGAAGAGAGGAGCAGCCAAAGTGACACAGAAGAGAATGGAGGGAAAAAAAAACTTAGGAAGCATCCAAGAAAAGTTTATTCTGCTCCAGATTGTTTTTAAAAGGAAAAGAATGTGATCGATGGCCAAGACGAACACTGTCAACAGTGTTTGTTTGATTTTTTTCACTGCCAGAAAGGAGAGACAAATGTTCCACTGCAGGTTTGAACGGATCGGTGACGGAATGTAACTGAGTACATTTACTCAAGTATTGTCCTAAATACAAATTCAAGGTACTTTTCATACCATTTTCTACATTTATTCCATCACATCTCAGAGGGAAATATTGTACTTTTTTTTTACTCTAAAGCATTTATCTGGCAGCTTTAGTGACTTTACATTAGATTTTTTTGCACACAAACTATATGAACAACACTGAAATGACATCTGAGCTTTTTAAATGAAGCTGCTCAACAATTTATTTGAAGGTAAAGATGACATGATTAGTCGATTAATCAACTAGTTGTTCATCGCTCAGAGGACTTGTGGCAGGATTCGTTGTTATTTTCAGAAACAATCACTTAATAGGAAATAATCAGCAGATGAATTCATATTGATAAACTTCATTAGTTCCAAATGAGCTCAAACAAAAACAACCTTAAATTTCTGCTTCTACATTCAATCATGAGTAATAACAATAATCCTGTGATACATTATACAACAGTCTACCAGTTACAGGAGATGTTTTTTCTGTATGAAGTGCTTTTAATACATTTTTGTCATAGTAACTTTTACACTGCAGGTGTAACAGAGTACTTTTACAGTATTAGTACTTTTTCTTAAGTCAAGGACAAATACTTCCTCTACCACTGGATTGGATGCTTCTTACTGAAATGCACCTTGGGAACTGTAGTTCACTTTTACATTTTTATGGGCTTTTTTGTCAAAGGACGCAAATGTTCATGTTTTGTATCAATGATTCAAGAGACTTTCTTGTCCATCTAAGCCACCTCCAACTGTGAGTCCGTTTAATTCTCAGCGCAGAAAATAATGGGCCAAAGTAGCTCCGCTCACCTCACAGCTCTGTATAAAGCAAACCAACCCTCATTGCTACTGAGCCTGTATGCAGTACAGGCAGATTCCAGGCTGTTGGAGGACTCTGCTCGTGCTCACAGAACACACGTTTGAATTAAAACCATCGTTGAGCCAATCAAAGCCGAACATCCGGACGTCTCCGTCACGCTCACGTTTCTAGTAGTGAAAATATGCAGTTTAGTTTATCGAAGAAAGAATGAAATCATTTGCTTTAGTGAATATATAGAGAAGTTGTTGGATTTACAGCAGCGTAATTTATAACTTACATGTTTTTTGCTACATTTGTTTGTTTTGTTTTTTTTTTATTTCTGAACTTTTCTGCTTTATTTATTCGTCTGTTTCTACTTTATTGTAATATTCACCGTTATTTTTCACTCTGAAATGCAGAAAAGGAAAAAAAACGTTTTCTATTTGCATCCAAAGAACTTTACTTTTTGATAATTTCTTCACTGAAGCTTTTTTTTCTTTCTTTCTTTCTTTTAACATCCAGTGTTTGTAAAGTCAGTGTTACGGTATTTTTCACTACAACCCCGTGTTGAACCATCTCTTGCCTTCGAAATAGAAGGCATCAATTCCAACACTAAGGCAGCAGACATTGTCATTACAGTAATCTTCACATCATTGCAATGTCTTCCAGTGTTGCCCTCGTTTTTGGACAGATGCACACAAGTCATTTTTAGGATTTCACTTCTTTTCTTTTTTTTTTTATTTCAAGTGGGAAAATAATCAGCATATCAGTGACATTTGCTACATCTGGTCGCCGTCGCCTCCTCACAATAAGAAATCCATCGACCGGACGTTCCAAATGTTTGTAGATGTAGAGCATCAGTCGTAGTATTTGCAGTCAATATCGTACCCGTTGTGTGTGTGTGTGTATTTGAATGAACACATTACGTGTTGAGACGCAGCAGGTTTGGGTTGAATGTCGTTTGCACTTATTTCAAAAGGACCTGAACATGAACTAGTGATAGAGGCCAAATAAACATGCATCACATTATCCAGAAGGCATAACTTTTTTCAGTCTTTAGATAAGGAGTTTTCCGCTCACACGTGCTGATATTTAGACAGCATTTATTTTAGGATCTCGTGTGTGCGTGTATGTGCGTGCGTGTGCGTGTCGGTGAAGTCAATCACAGTCATCGTAGGGTTAGTGTTTACTGTCGTCTCTCTGTGGCTGACATCTTAAAAGTTCAAACAAAACGGATTTTTTAAAAAACTTTCAGAGCTCGTTTCTTCGGTTGGTCGGTACGTTTTCTGTGTGTGTGTGTGTGTGTGTGTGTGTGTGTGTGTTTGTGCGTAAGGGACGACGCATCAATGTCAAGACATTGTAAAATAGAAATCAAGTTTGTCGTAATCAGTTTGCTGTTGTTCATCAGATGAAGACCATAGCAGCAATATTTTGTACAGTCTTGCTTTTGAGTTCGTTTTAATTGCCTTATTGAGAAATTTTACATGTCTGTCTATTGTTTGTATGATTTTTTTTGTTGTTTTTTTTTTTCACTCGTGCTGTTGTATTTATTTTTCTTTCTCATAGTTGTGCTCCTGAGAATGTGTACATAAAACTATAAATACATATATAAAGATATACAAATATATTTTCCATTTGAATCGGAGAATATTATTTTTATTTGGTTTTATTTTTGCTGCTGGGCAAGAAATGATTGCAATCTACATAATTTACTGTACCATATTCTTCAGTGTGTTTATTGGGATGCAGCTGCTGTATATTTATGGTCTATAAGCCACAGCTGTTTCTTTGTATGATATCCAGAACTGAAAGGTTTGTGGGTTTTACTGTACATGCAGATCAATAGGGATTCTTCCAACTGTTCAGCTGTGTTGTGTACGTGTTTTCAAATCGCTGTGTGCCCTCATCCGATAGGGAGAGTCCTTTACAGAGACATAGCATGATTTCAAAAATGAATATGCATATCAGAAATGTGTATTTATGTATATCTGTGTATATTCATCTATTTATACGTGAGGATAAATAGATGGCTGTGTGTGCGTGTGTTTGGACTCAATCAGAATGAATACAAAATAAAGCAGTTCTATGAATTGTTGTCCATGGAGATGCTGTTGTGTAACATTTTTATTGATTCCTTGTTCAAATAATCTGATCATAATCATATTAATTGTGTTATTTGTAATAGAAATAGGAAATCTGTATCCATGACCTTGGATTGGGACACTGTATTTGATCGTTTAACTCCATTAGAGAGTCTAATTATTAGTGACTGCTTTTATCTTTTAACTCCTTCTGCTGCGTTCACAGGTCATACAGCTCACAGGAATAATTAGGTTTCCATATGACCTCATTACACTCCAGCTCTGAACGTCACAAAATGGGCAAAGAAGGGGCTTTACATTTAATTAAGGACCACATAGCATGTACTGTAGCTGTAGTTTAATTGTGCTCCATATGCACATTGCACCAATAGTCTATATGATCACATTAAACTTTTTTTGTTTAGCACATTTTCAAGAAATTCAGGTCAGTGTGCTTTACACTAAAGAAATAATGGGGACTAAGTGCTTCATGTAAAACTAGACATACTAGTATAATAAACATAAAAGGTATCAAATTAAGGTAACAAGACTGAAACTAAAACCAACTGTATAATAATAATATAATAGAAAATGTGAATGCATAGGATGCATTAGATAAGATGGACAATAGAATCCACTGAGTATAAAATGTAAATGCTTAAAAAATAAACTGAAGCATCCTAAAAGAACTGTAGCAGTGCATAAATGTGAATTAAAATCAGTGCAATAAACAATATTTCGTGGAAAATTTGAATAGAAAATATAAGCTAAAACCAAAAAATGGTGCATAATTCATAGTTTCACTGTCATTTGTCGACACAGTCATCTGTGTCAGGGGGGTTCAGGTGTAATGTTCGCCTTAATATTAAAAAAGCATAACTTCATTCAAGTCTGAAGGCTTTATGGCTGTGTAGTTATTCTAGTGGAATGTCCTGAACATGGCCTTGTGGTGGTGCTGCATGAAAGATAAAGGGCTAACCCAAAAATGATGATAAATAATTCAAAGAAACCTGGTCAAGGGTTGGACAGGTTTACGTCACCGTTCAAGGGGTTCTCTTGGGACAAATATCTGCAAAACGTGAATCTGTCTGCAGGAGATCATCTGTGTTTGCTCACGCTCTGCTGCAAACAATGACCAGAGATACACTGACGGAAAACATCAGAGGAGTGAATACAAGTGCGGCTTTTCCTGCACAGAGTTAATACTGAATAATATTTTCCTCATTGACAGTGTACTCCAGGACACTGCCAATGAGTCTCTCAGGTGAAAATGTGTAGATCGCACCATTGCTACAGACTATTGCCCTGGTTTGTATTTCCACTTGGATGAATTGGGTGACAGAGTACAAATGAACAAAACCGTATGACTTTATTAACAGTGAAATTGTTGCAGAAGGCTGCATAGTGTTCAGTGGCATCATTAGATCAGGGCATCAGAGGCTACAGCCCTGAATGTTTTATCAATAGAGGCCTACAGCTACATTTTTTCCCCCAAAATAGTAAGAATTATTTAAAATATAGCCCTTGAACTATTCATCTAGCATTCTAATTATGTGGTAAAGCCCCAGAAAATAATCGGATTATAGCTGATCAAAAATAGGACATTATTTTACTGTTTGCTAAAGTCATTATTGTGAGTATTAATGCTTCTTCATGAATACATAGAGAATATAGTCTCTCTGATGATTAGATTAAGAAAGAGAATATGGCCACAGGTGGGCAAGTATCAGTAAAAAACATGCCTTATTGTAAGCTACTATAAATGGATTAACTATCATTAGAATGAATTTTCTAGCAGAAGGCAGGTTTGCTCCAGTTTTTGATAGTTATTTATTTAGGATATTGTGTTATTGGGGTTCATGGGTGATTTTTTTCCTACCCACTAGCACTTTAATCTCATCTCCTGGGATACTTAAAGGGTCAGTCACATGAATTAATAATAAATAACATTAATGAAAACATTTTCAAAGCACAACTTTGCATAACTAGCCATGTAAATCTCACTATGCCCTCCTATCATAGTGCATAGAAGCACTGTGGGATGATCTTAAGTTGGTTAGAACACCCTGTCTCATATTTCCTAATTATTTTTACTGTGAAAAAACTTTACAGTAATGAGGTAAAAATCTACAGTTTGTTTTGGGCTGGACTGAGCCTCCAATGTGATAGTATGCCTTACTGTTTATTTCAATTTTATTGGCCTGCTAAGTTGTTTGGTTGGATTTATTTTCCCCAAATAACTCTTGATCTGAGCATGGGTAAAATATGAGCAAGAATATATGCTGCTGAAGTAAACATACAGTGTACTGATGCTATTTTTTCCTCTTAGTAAACATTGTGTAACAGTGTTCATGCTCGAAAATATGACTCTGGTTGGATGTTGCTCAACAGGAGAACAAAGGGTGTAATAGCTCATCGTGTTCTCTGCTCTGCACGATGATTGGTCGGTATTTTCAAAGCTGTCATCTGATTGGTCAATGTATGTGTCAATCAACGAGATTAGCTTTCCAATTGGTCCACCTCGAAGTTCCTAAATTCACGTGCTTGTGCCCTTCCTTGAAGGCGGTGTCTGCTAGTTAGCTGCCGGCGGTGAAGCTTGTTGTTGTTGTTTTTTGTTTGTGGGAAAGTATAAAAATATTCTTCTAAGATGGGAACTCGAGATGACGAATACGACTACCTGTTCAAAGGTAAGTTTTTCTTTAAATGTGCATGAATGACAGCGGCGTCGTCCTCCTGTTTTAGGAGTCGACGACAGCAGCAGGAACTGAGGAAGTCCCACTAAGTCAAGGCTAAAGTTAGCTCCACTAGCAGCAAAGTGGCAAACATGATAGCTGTCGACCGTGAAGCTGACTCTACCGGCGATACAAGTTCAATAATCAAGTCTGTAAAATAGTATGTTGTCAGCAACAGCGTACACTTCATCCTCGTAAACCAATTAGCGAGTGAAGTCATAGCAATTAGCGGGCTATATAAGTGGCTATATAAGTAGCTAGCTTGCTAACATAGTAGCTACTCGCCCTCTTGAAAAACAAACGAGACGATCTAATGTTACCGTTTGTTTAACTATAAGATAATGAACATCTGCTGTCTGTGGCTCAAGGCAGGAACTGTGACCAGAAGCTAACCTAACTTGGCTCATTAACTTGCTGTCTGTCGGACATATTTCTCTGCTACTCCGGATTGCACACTCTTTTCATCTTGAATTATTTTTACTCCATTTGATTAAAAAAAACGAAATAGCAGATATAAAGAACCATAACTATCATCCATACACCAGAGTAAAGTCTGTGAACTGTGTGACTAGTGATCGACCAATGTGTGTGTGTGTGGAGCCAATATCGACGCTGATTATTAGTACCCGAGGAGACCAATAATCGATGTTTGAAGCTGCTATACGTTTGCAGTAAAAGTCAAAATTCTGGTGGGAAAATTTAGAATAACTCAAACGCAAAACTTTGTTGAAATGCCTTATTTATGTTTTTAATGTGATTAAATAAAAGTAATCTTTTTAACATGTATCCTTCAGTGTTGACAATCAAGACCACATAGACAAGTGGCTGCCTCAGAGACAAAGTAGATTGTTTTAAATTCACCGATTACATTGGATATTGTTTGATACAAAAGAGTGATGGCGATAAATTGAATGCAGAATATTAGATCTGATCATTTTCCATCACTAGACCTCACTTAACTTCTGCCCTGGATGTGCACTGTACCGCAGAGCTATGCCATATGTTGATTTCAGCTTTTAATCTCTACTTGAAATTGTGTATTTAGCAAATAGTAAAGGTTACAATTTAGGATGTTTATTGTTCAGCTTGTCTGACCCAGAGTTTACTTTTGTATCACTGGCTTAGACTACGTTCTTAGAAACCACAGAGCCGCTGTTTTAATGTTTCTGTGCTTTGGTTCTAGTTGTGCTAATCGGTGACTCTGGAGTCGGGAAGAGTAACCTGCTGTCCCGCTTCACGAGAAATGAGTTCAACCTGGAGAGTAAGAGCACCATCGGGGTGGAGTTTGCCACCCGCAGCATCCAGGTGGACGGCAAGACGATAAAAGCTCAAATCTGGGACACAGCTGGGCAGGAGCGCTACAGAGCCATCACCTCAGCGTGAGTTTGTGTTGTTGTATGCAGTATTTATTAGTATTGTGACAACTGTAATGTTTACACACTTGGACGTAGATGCCTCCTCACTAAAAAGTAGCTGCTGTGTGAGCCTTTCAGAGTGCTGAACCTGAGGCACAAAGTCCCACTTTACATACAAACAAATTCCTTTACACCAGGTCTGTGCGTGATGTATACAGTGTACAACAAAATGTAGTTTACATGTGCAAAACATTTTATTTTTTTAGAATGTTACAGCCGCCTACACATTTTTTACCCTCAACAAATATGACAGAGAGCATTCCAGTGACTCCTTGTTTTCTCTTCACCTCTTTACTGTCACCAGGTATTATCGGGGTGCAGTTGGGGCTCTCCTAGTTTACGACATCGCCAAGCACCTGACATACGAGAACGTGGAGCGCTGGCTGAAGGAGCTGAGGGACCACGCTGACAACAACATCGTCATCATGCTGGTGGGAAACAAGAGCGACCTCCGTCACCTCAGAGCCGTGCCCACTGACGAGGCTCGGGCATTTTCAGGTAACTTTGCAGCTGGGAAAACAGCAGTACATCAAAAGTAGGAGTGTAATGAATGGAAAATGTTTCTTTTTGAATCCTTTTCCAAGCTACTTATTTAAACATTGTACAGTTATTGTCCAAGTTGTTGCTTGTTAACATTCAGTTTCGTTGCTGTGATGTGTAAATCATACTTTGTGCCGTCTCTCTCTCTCTCTCTCTCTCTCTCTCTCTCTGTCACCCTCAGAGAAGAACACTCTCTCGTTTATTGAAACTTCTGCCTTGGACTCCACTAATGTAGAAGAAGCATTCAAGAGCATTCTCACAGGTAAAATACAACATTTAGTGTACTGTAAATCTCCCAGGTAATGCACCAATACCTTGTACTAAACCATCATTGTTTTCTCCCATAGAAATCTACCGTATTGTATCTCAGAAGCAAATATCGGACAGGTCCGGACACGATGATTCTCCAGGAAACAACGTAGTGGACATAAGCGTCCCTCCGACCATGGACGGGCAGAGAGGCAACAAACTCCCTTGCTGCCAAAGCCTGTGACCTCCTTCTTTGCTTTTCCTGTTTGATTTTCTATCAACTTTCCTGTCTGTACCTCTGCTTTCCTTCAGATGTCATGCTGCTGGTTCAGACGTCTCTGACACCAAGACTCTTATATTTGACATTCCTTTTTGCTGGTTTCTTTCTTTGTCTTACTCTTATTTCAGAAAAACCTTTCTACAATACTTTACGGCCGTAATAATAGCCTGGAGGCGGAGTGTAAAGCTATTAGGAGGTCGATCCTGCGGCTGTAGTGAACTACAATTTATTTTTAATCCACTAGATGATGATCCTTTTGACCCACTCCTGTTGAAGGAATGGTGAGGGATCAGCAGGTCTGCGTATCAGCGCTCCGAGTTGTTTCTACTTGCCTCCTTTTCTCAGCCTCCACACAGATTAAAAACACGATCTTCCAATGTGGAGTCGCAGTTTCATGTCTGTTTTATCCGATCTCTTGCAATAAGTGTATAGAAGAGGAGATGAGCAGAAGGTACATTTGGAGCACTGATGTGTTGTCTTTTTGGAGTTTCTGGTTGCCTCTTTAGTTTGAGTTTTGTTCTTTGAGCCCTTTTTGCCCACAGTGGCATGAAATTAGCACGAGCCGGGGACCAGACTGGCCGTGACTGACTGACTTAATATGGGCAAGTGTGAAACAAACAGCAAGTTTTTATTTGTGTGCGAATGTGTGTGTATGTATGTGTGTGTGTGTGTGTGTGTTAAATCTTAGTGTGCAAAGATACCAAAGGAAAACAATGCAATCAAAAATCTGGGGTTTTCTCATTCAGGCATGTTCAGGGCTGCTTGTAAGTTTGCAGATAAATGCTGTCATTGATAAATAAGTCCAGGCTATTTGCAAGAAATGTGTAGTGCTCCATAGCAGAGGTGGTATTCTACATCGTGTTTATTGTTTGTGAAATCAGAGTGTCTGCCTTTTTTGTTCCTCTCTTGGGTTAGCTCAGGTCAAACTATCTTCAAAATGAAAATCCTGTTTGCACTAATGTCCAGTAGTTTCAATGGAACAAATCACTTGTTTTTTTTACACAGCTCAACATCTAACATTTCCCTGGTGGTTGTGAGGGAAACAATGTTGATAGAAAGGAAAAATGCACAAAATGTGGTGCTTTTTTTCCCCTCCTAAACAACATTTTCCTTTGCTGCCATTTGAATGTGGTATCCATCAAAGGGGAATGGATACAGATGTGTGTAATCTGAGAACATTTTAGATGGAAAACCAATTGAAAACGCTCCTTCACTCCAGCCACTTTAACGGTTGTTAGCTGAGAAAACGGAACCGAAAATCAGAAATGCAAATTGTTCTTATGGTTGGATGAACTGCTTTTATGTCTGATTTATTCCAACACATCATGACATTTCTTTTAAGAACCACATGTAAAGTGAGTAAACACATTTGTTTTGCTACCTTTGCATTACACAGAACATTTTGAAGCATAAATAAACCTCATTCACATGAAGACAGGGTTCTTTCTTGACACATGACTCATTCATTGTCCTCATACCTTCGTGTTTAATGGTTAACTGATGGGCCGTCCTGTCAGTTGTGGTGTTTATATGAAGCGCATGCAGACGTTTTTGACAGACCGCCTCCAAAAATCTGCACAGATGATTGAAAGTACTGTTCAGCTAAAGCAAGTCGTTTTTGTCAGCATCTAACATCAATACTTTTCTATATTCAGGACAGGCCTTGTTAAGATGAGATAAAACTTTATTGATCTTGAAGGAAATTCATTAAAGAATGGATAATCCTCATTCAAACTAGTACAGTGAATATGAATGCATTGTTGTCCTAGTCAGTCTATCAAACTGTATTCATATAGCATGTATCAGACAAATTAAATGGGGTTTAGAGTCATTCACAAAACAGAATGGTTAAAAAAAATTGTAATTGAACAATTAATATAAATAATATTAAATATCACCAAATAAAATAATTATATCAAAACAACAAGTGGTAGTACTATTAAATGTTGAAAAAAAAAAACTAGAATCAGAATAGGATAAATGATAAAAAGAGAAAGTCTAACACCATGAAACTGTGCAACATACAATACAGACTAATATTACACAGAAGAAATTTACTGTACTTAAACAGTAACACTTTTAACTAAAATAACTTTTAATAAATTAAAATGGAATTATTAAAAAAAATACAGTGTACCATCAATTAATAAAACACCACATTCAACAAATGTAATCAAATTATTTTTATTAAATTACACAAAATAAATGGATTATCTTAAAACAGCTAAATGTTGAACTACTAAATTATTAAATTTTAATGATATAAACTTGCATTAAAAAATTATGAATGTACATATAAATGTGTATATATAAAATATATAAATCGTTTTCTACAAAGTTACAAACTAAAAAATATATATAACAATAGCATGTTAATACACACATATATACAATTTATTAAAATATAAAAATGTATATAGATCACAAAAAATGAACTACAATAAAATACTAAAATGTTAAACTACTAAGTAAATGTTAATTAACTCAAATGTGTTAATTAATTTTAATTTAAACAAACAGTAAAGTGTTGAGATATCTCAAAACAAAGGTATTAGATGTAAAATACATGTAAAATATTAGCCCAATAACTAAGTGTTCATGTTCTAAACTAGGATTTAAACAAAAATAATGTTAAATTTTAAGTACTGAAACGAGACAAAAAACATAAACAACATTGTGACACACTACACAAAGAAATGGATTTGGATTGATATGATATATTTTCGGGCTGTAAAACATAATCAGTAGATAATCTCTTGCAGACATCCTGCTCTGTGTAAGACTGTGTGGGAACAGCAGAAAGCCAGACGCGCTGCAGTAAATCACGTTGAATTATACTGATTTTAATTCAGAGCAGAATCCGTCTCTGGGCTGTTTGTTTCCTCCACCGGCTGAACATGTGACTCTCCGGTGAGCCGCCCCTCCCTTCCGCACGCTGCTGCTGCTGCCGCTGCTGTTGTTGTTCCCAATCACAGTTTAACTCGTCCGGATTGTCTCACACTCGGCCGCCCCGTCGTCTCCTTCTCGGGCAGCAGCTGATGATGAGCCTGGGGGGCATATTTAAAGCCCCGGGGGGAAGCGGAAGCCCGGTCTGCCGACTGTTATCAGCTGAGGGCTGCTAGCTAGCTGCGGAGCGAGCAGCGTCTCGTTAGCATAGAGAAGCTAGTGGTGCTGCACTTTCTCTTGTGCTTCTAGTTCACATTTTACCATGAAGAGAGGAGGAAATATGAGTTGTTCAGGCCGGTGACGACTGCTGCTGCTGTTTAACACCACAAAGAAGACAACATTTGGTGAGTAAATGTTTGCTGTTGTGTTTTTTATTTCTCGGCTAACAGTTTTCTGACAGCTGGCTGCTAGCAGACAACACAGCTGTGACGGTCTGCGTTTAATTACTGGACAAAGAAACTGGAGCGAAAACGCTTCTTGACAACAAAAACGACAGTGTGGTAGAACTTAAACAGTTGGAGTTTGTGTGTTTAAAAATGCAGCATAGCTACACACGGCTAATTTATGCCGCCGCCGCGTTTTTGTACTGTGCAATTACGCTGGCATGATACAACTCTGTGTTCCAGACAATAGTCTGGATCAAAGCTCCAACATCTGTCTGCCTCAGTTTCTTCAGGTCACAGTGAAAAAGAAAGTAGATTTTTAGTCACATATTGTGTCTGTGTTTATCTGACAAACGTCCACCACTGTTGTTAATGTGTCATAAGTTGTTAAATTCACGTGTATTTGGAAAGTTTGGTTTAAAAATGACACACTTGTGTTGCGCAACTGACAAGATGTTCTCGTGCGCATCCACACTTCAGACCTTCTCCGGATCTACACGGATGATGGCTGGCTGCTCTTCTACAACAGAAATCTAGTTGTTAACAGCATGTAACACGTTAATATATGTGTGTATTCAGGATAGGCCTTCTTAGAGGATACCATGCTATTCATTTAAACTGATACTGTAAATATGAGTGCACTGTAGCCCTACTCTATCAGTAAAACGATCTATATGCAGCACTTTTCAGATTAATTAAATGTAGTTCAAACTGAGAGCAATTACTAGAACATAGGATAATAGATCTAAAGACTAATGCACACCAATGTGGAAAGAGACTTAATATTGGATGGCTAGATCATATTAGTAGATCATTAGTTGTGTAATTGAGGAGCTTGGCTTAAAAATTACAATCACGTGTGTTTCTAAATGAACCGATCTGAAAATAGATGAGTGTGTATAGAAGAGTTAGCCATCCAAATACATGTACTTCTGTTGCTCGACTGTTAGGAAAAAAACATGGTTCTATCCCCATGTTTACACACACAGCCCCCTAAAAAACAGCAACTGATCAGATTTAGCTGTTGTTTTCATTTGGGGTTACCTCGGTGTTTATCTGGGTCAGGGATTGTGCCTCTTAATCATTGCCCTCATGCTGTATCAGTATGCATAAATAATAACACCAAGCTGTCATTGATTTGAAGCGGAAAGCTTGTCATCTGACGTGAAACCTCTATCAGGAAGTTGAGGCTTTCCGGCTTCACTACGCATTTACAATCGTAACAATTTCTCACAAAGCTGTTCTCTGTGGATATAGGACTGACCAAACCAAATGACCGGAATATAATGAGGTAGAAATAATCAGAAGTTACTATATATATTTTTTGCTGCACACAGTAATGCGTTTTTAAGCAGTCAGATGTTTCCTATAATTTGAATCATCTTTTCTCTCATGCAGAACTAAAAACAGAACATTATGTTCTGATTCACCAGATGTTCATAGTGCGGTTTCGAGTGAATGTACATTCTTGTAATAATTAGTCACAAGGAGACTGAATAAAAACATGCCATGAATTGACACCGTCTGCCATGGCAAAAACATGTTATGTTCAGCACACAGGATTATGCAGGTTTTGGTGTCATGCTGAGGTCTAACAGTGTGCATGCATGGCTTTATTTACCCGCAACCTACAGACAGGACTGCTTTTTATTTCTGTAGAAATAAAATGTTACCATCACGGATTAGACAGGCCACAGTTTCCGTTTTCTTTATCGTGCTTTTCCTGTATCTGTTGTCCCATCAAGATCATTTCTCATGAAAACATCAGTTTTTCAGTGTGTTTGTTTAAAGAGTACCGTTTCCAGACAGCGAGGCCAATGTGCTACAGGCTGAAGCAAATTCAGCTGAATGCCTCTTATCTTTAGCGAGGGGTTATCTGAGGGAAGACAGCTGTTTATCAGGCTGCTGCACATCACACTCACTGCCGCTGACATCACACTTGCTTTTGTAATGGATTAGCAGCTGCTTTGAGCAAACTGGCCTACCTCCAAACCGATCGCTTTCTCGTAAATGCCTTTCTAGATAATTTCAGTTATTTTCACATGACAGGAAATGAATTATACATTAAACAGATTAGATGCGTTTAGGTAGCCGTCATAATGCTGTGATGATGGATAATGTCTTGTTTTTAATAGTCAAAACATTATTTATTAGATTTTGTTTTGAGACAGTATGCAATTATACGTTTGCTTCAGCTTCTGAATACTGTGTTGTAATTTTTATTTTATTGTCCAGTGGTGGTGCCAAAAGTAGAAGTACTCCTTATGCAAGAACACCTACAGAATAATATGTAGCAGGATAACTTTAAAGCTGTATCTGGTGAATTTGGTTCATTCTAACGACTTTTATATCCTGCTTGAGCTGTAATAATGCATCAAAGTTACATTATGTAGAAATTGTTTAGTATTTATTACATGTATCTATAAACGGACTTCTAGTTAAAGCTGTAAAATAAGTGGAAAAAGTGCAAATATAAAGCTCTGAAGTGTAGTAAAGTACAAAGTGGAAATACTGTAGGAAGTTCAGATACCTCACGGAAGGTCAGTACTTGAGTAAAAGTACTTACTTTTCCACCACAGATGCTGTTTATAAGAAATAAAATGTATTTCTTGCTCTTTCTCCGTTGAAGCATTCCCAATATGTGGGAAGCAGGAATATGTCACATCAATGATGTGAATCTCAATAAAGCTCTGAAATGTAGTGAAGTACAACATAGAAATACTGTAGGAAGTCCAGTAGGATCAGTACTTGAGTAAAATTACTTCCTTTTCTATTCCACCACAGATACTGTTAGTAAGAAAACTGAATTCATTCTCAGTGTCTTTCTGTTTCTCCGTAGAAATATTGCCAATCTGTGGACAGCAGGAAGAGTGTTGGCCTCGGTGTCCCCCTCAGTCATCCCTCGCCTCCAGCCGTTGACACCCTCAGCACCATCTGCGCTGCCAGTGCTTGGACGCTGTAACCATGACGACAGGCGGGTGTTGCCACCTGCCTGGCTCTCTGTGCGACTGTGCCACCAGTACGGGTCTGTGGAAGAGCGTGGAGGAAGCGGGCGGTGACGGCTGCCAGGCGCTCTACGTCACCCAGGTCACGGCTATAGATGGACGCTTGCTGTCGTCTGTGCTCAAACCCATGAGTGCACAGAGGTAGGACCTCATCATGCTTATGTTACACATGGGCTGTTACAGCGCAAATCATCAGACTTTTACAAATAATTTCAGCCCCACCTTGTCTGATTTGCATGAAAATTTTGTAGCATAAAATCTGGATAATTGGGCAGCCTTATTGTTCACCTTGCTGCGCAGGCAACCCATGAACAGGGGCTGTAGTTCCCCGACGGTCGTGAGTTCGACTCTCGCTTACAACAGTTTGCTGCAGGTCCTCCGCCGTTCTTCTTCCCCTTTTCCTATCTCACTCGCTAACTGTCCTCACTAATAAAGGCAACAAGGCCATAAAAAAAAAAGGCTAAAAGTCAAGTTCATTTTGAAAAATAAATAAATCTGGATAATTATAAAATATATTTGGGAAATTTTAGCTTTCCAAGATGTTTCTTTTTTAACTTGCAATGTTTTGCAAGTTTAAAAGAAAAGCATTTTTGAAATTTATTGCAACATATCAGGAACTAGATAAATGCCTGAAGTTTTCACTGAAATAATGAGACTCAAATTGTCTAACAAAAGGTGATTTGAAATATTGGAGGAAAAAAATAATAAAATTGAAGTCATCATGAAACGTACCATCTCTGAGCACACACTGACAGAAGTCAAATAGTGATATTTTTTGAATCATATTTGTTGACATATCACAATAATCCATCCATTATCTGTACAGCGCTTAATCCTCACTGGGGTCACGGGGGGCTGGAGTCTATCCCAGCTGACTTAGGGTGAAGGCAGGGGACACCCTGGACAGGTCACCAGTCTATCACAGGGCTACACTTAGAGACAGACAACCAAGCACACTCACATTCACACCTACGGACAATTTAGAATCACCAATTAATCTCAACATGTTTTTGGACTGTGGGAGGAAGCTGGAGAACCCGGAGAGAACCCACGCTGCACGGGGAGAACATGCAAACTCCATGCAGACAGATCCTGGGTGCCCTCACCGGCGACCTGCTTGGTGCAAGGCAACGGTGCTAACCACCGAGCCACCTTCAGCCCATGTCCCAAAAAAAAAACAAAAAGAAAACTTTCCAACTCACAACTCATGCTCATACTGTCCAGTATTGCATATTAGATGTTAATATTCAGAATCAGTGACATGGTGAGAAATACAGTGAAAAGCTGAGGGTTTTATCTGTTATGGTTTCTCTCATTTTTTTCATTCAAGCATAGCCTCAAATGTTAATGTACAAAAAAAAAACGTGCTGAAAGTGAGTTGACAGACAATTTAAAAGAAATACCTTCAAGTACTTCATATATGAAGCTAAAATTTCATAAATATGTTTATTTTATGCTATAAAGTGTTGTTCAAACAGAGACGGTCAGGAGAAATTGTATTAACAATTTGATCTGAAGTGGGTTGACTGGCATTTTAAAAAAATATTTAGAAAAGTTAACAGATGCCATTCTAAATATCTATAGTTCATAGTAAAAAAATAAAAATAAAAAAAAAGTTAGACAGAAATCACGATGGTCAAGCAGAAGGTCCCGGATTTGAGATGGAATAACTCAAATGTATTTATGGTATTAAATAAAACATAACAGCCAGAAAAGTTTATGTTCATAGTTTCCTTACCAAGTTTAATACACTCTCATGTCTCTCTTGGATTTCTGGAACTGTAAAGTTTTTTGCTTTGAGTCAATCTCAATGCTTATGTGATTGCATGTTTATTATTATAAATTACCAGTAATGTGGGGTCATAATAATGTTTACTGTATCAGTGACATGTTGACAAGCAAGCCTCCTAAAACTCAGTTCAGTTCAGTTCAATACGCTTTATTGTCATGACTGTCAGGTTAACAACAGCAAGGCAACAAGCATGTTGAGACTTTTTTAAAATGGGGTTAAAAAATGAAAAAGCATTAAATGGATAGGTCAAGGGAAGACAGAACTTTATGAGATATAAGTAAGACAGGTCACTAAAACTAAAATAAGACTAGAATAGAAAATAAGAAGTAACAATGGGAATGATTCTGAAGTCGTAAAAATAGCGTGATGCAACAAGAAAAGGGAAATAGCAGAAAAAAAAACTAGTAAATGTTTGTTGTGTGTGTCATATATGTATGATACACTTAAATTCTATCAGCTTGTGACTGTTGCTTTTCACTCTTGTCTAGTTCTGTGAAGTTTACGATCAGCAAGTCAGACTTCTGCTCTCATATATCATTGGATTTTGATCTCTGTCTCTGCGTTGCCATGTTGCCATGTTGCCATGCAGCGACCACAGGCTCTTTCTTGTGCCTGTTACCAAACCATCCTTTTTCTCTGACTAGACTGTGGTCACTGAGTCTGTAATGGAAATCCCTCTCTGCTTGCATCTCTGACACTAAACAGATATTCTGCTTATTTATATTCATGGTTTAGGGACAGGTAGCAATGAAGTTTGGTATGAGTTTTGGTTTGCTGTGGCCTTTAAGTGTCTTTGCTGTGTTGTGGCAAAAAAAAAAAAAAAAAGTTTTTTAAAGCTTTTATTCTGTTGTTTTGTTTAAAATATTTTTTTCCTTTTGTCTCAGTGACGGTCCCATCTGCCGCATCTGCCACGACGGAGGCAACAGCGAGAGTCTTTTGTCCCCGTGTGACTGCACCGGTACTCTGGGCACGGTGCACAAGAGCTGCTTAGAGAAGTGGCTGTCGTCTTCCAACACCAGCTACTGCGAGCTCTGCCACACAGAGTTCAGCATCGAGCGCCGGCCAAGGCCTCTCACAGAGGTAACAAAGGTCAATGCTCTTTGCCTCGTCTGCATCAATCTTTCTTCTCGTCCTTCTGAGTTTCCGTGGTGTGTGGACCAGTGTGCAGATACACAGTAGTGAACAAAAGTTAACATACACTTGTAAACACCATGTATATCATGGCTGTAATGAGTTTCCAGTGACTTCTGTAGCTCTAAATTTTCTACGATGGAATGATTGACACAAGAAACAGTCATGAATTTTAGTTTTATTATAGGTCTTTGGGAAATATGACAAAATCTGCTGGGTCAAAAATATACATTCAGCAATTCTAATATTAGGTTAAAAATGTTCTTTGGCCATTTTCACCTCCACTAGGCGCTTTTGGTCGCTGTTCACAAACTTCTGGTTGTATCTTTGACCAACAATTGATACAGTTAAACTAAATCTGCTGGATTTCTGACACAGACTTGTTTCTTCATCACAAGGCTTTGGGAAGGCCCGTCTAAAACCCCAATTCCAATTTAAATTGGCTCAGAGAAATCAGCAGCTGTAGCCATTGTAATCAACCACAAGTGTGTGTAAGGTCATGCCAACTGGGAAATTACTTACCACAACTTTGTACATCACCAAAACTCGAGTTACTGTATGTATATTTTTGACCCAACAGATTTTGTCATATTTCCAGACGACTTGTAATAAATCTGAACCAACCAAAATGCATGAAGACACATGTTTGAATGATTCCATCGTAGAAGAATAAAAGTTCTAGGAGCCATTTGACTGGGATGATGTACACGGTCTTAACAAGTGAATGTAAACTTTTGGTCACGACTGTAAACGTGTGAAGTTGTTGTTTTTTTTTAACATCTCTCTGCTTGCTTGCTTGTTTGTTTTTATAGTGTGTGTGTTTTTTTTGTTCTTGATTAACTTGAGATCTCCCTCCTCTCTGTTTTTCCTTCCTCCTCCTCCTCCTCCTCCTCCTCCTCCTCCACAGTGGCTACGAGACCCCGGCCCTCGTAATGAGAAGAGGACGCTGTTCTGCGACATGGTTTGCTTCCTGTTCATCACGCCTCTAGCAGCCATCTCCGGCTGGCTGTGCCTGAGGGGCGCTCAGGACCACCTTCAGCTGGGGAGCTGGCTGAAGGCGGTGGGCCTCATAGCTCTCACCATCGCCCTCTTCACCATCTACGTGCTCTGGACTTTGGTAAAGACAAATTCACATGCAGCATTGTTGCAGTTTGTCCATTTCTCAGCGTGTTGCTAACCTGTACAGCTGCTGTTTAACGCTGACCTGGTCGTTTCCACAGGTGTCCTTCCGCTACCACTGTCAGCTGTACTCGGAGTGGAGAAGAACAAATCAGAAAGTGCGTCTGCTCATTCCCGAAGCAAAGGAGTCCAGCTCTTCCCAGCATTCCTTGCTCTCAACCAAACTGCTAAAAAAGTCGGCTAATGAGAGCATCGTATGAGACCACTGGAGACGGTCGATGATACTCTTTAACACATGAGGGCTGATTCTCCACGCATCAGGCCCACTGACTAGACTTTAAAGAAGCACTTGTGGGCTTTTTTTTTCTTTTTTTTTTTAAATTTGTTGCTTACTTCCATTATTTTCTCTGCCCCCATTGGTACATATTTTTTCACGTTACATTTTATAAATCTGTCCCGTGGGTGCAGAAGTGAGCACATTTAAACGGAGTCTGTACGTCCCCACATTGGGTGTTGACCAAAGGCACTGAAGAATGGAGCGACACGAGGAGATGTTGAGAAACATCGACGGTGAGGCGACGATATAACTGGTTAACAGTGACAGTAGAATGAGGGATGGACCAAGTTAATTTGTAAAATGCAATGATTGTCCTCGATGGTCAAGTGTAGCAGGTTCATTCATCGTGTACTTGCAGTGATGAGAATACATGTGCACTTACCCACTTAGGCCTTTTGTATCTGCACAGTGCTGAGGAGCTCTTTGAAGTGTGATCACTGATTAATCTGTAAAGGACAAACAAAAAGCTTTTTTTATTTCATATTTCACAATCCAGACCTCAGTGTGCTGTCTGAGGTGAAACTTTCAACACAAGCCCTGTTCTTTAAAAGTCTCGTCCTCCGGCTGCGTGACATCAGTTAAAACAGTGACTGTGCAATAAAATGTGTTCAGGTCTTCACAGTACATGAAGAGGCCTCCAGCAACATGCACAGTTATGCACGCAAGCAGCACTGTTAACAGCTTTTGGGGAATATTTTTTTTTAATGTGGATGTCTTCAAAAAGAATTTTTTAAACCACTAAAAGAACTGAAAGGATTTACTATTCCTACTGAAGTAGGATTTAACAGCGTCCTCATAGAGGTTCTAGTATTATCAGCACTTAACAAGTAGGTCTTTATATTTATAAAGATGGACAGGAATCTATCGAAATGACTTTTAGAGGAACATTTCCACAAGTATCGTTTGGTGGCCGGTGCAGTGTACTGAAGCATCATTTCTGTCGCCTGTACTTAATCGTCGGCTTTATTTTTGCACATTGCTGCGTATGTGTGTCTTTTCATAATCGCAACAATCAGGGATTCACAAACCTCCTGCAATCTTTAAACAGGTTCTCTGATTTCGATGAAAGTAAAACTTTTCCATCAGAGACTTTTTTTTTTTTAAGCTGGCTTACAACCAACATGTGGATGTTACTGACCAGTTTCGACTGTTAGTAGTGTGAGAGAGTCGGGGAATTTTAGTTTCCACGACATCGTTTGGTGCAGCTTTCAAAACGAGTCATTTGCGGTGACTGTTACTGAACCTGCCGGGGAAATCACAAACTGCAGCGTCTGCCTGGGATCCAGATTTCCGGGTCATAACGTGGTCCAGTTTTGAACATAGTTATTTTCCTCATTCCACTTAATTTAGGTTATGGGGAGACGGTTAATTGCTTCTTACGCACATTGCGGGTCGTCCGCAGGGAGACGAGCTTGAAGATGATAAATCAAACAGTGCGTGTAGTGCTGAGAGTTGATTCAGTGGACCTGATGAATAGCGTTGACTCAAACGTGCTGGCTTTGGAAATGCGTTACGAATGTCATTTTACAGGATGTCCAACCTGGAGCTCAGTGTTATTTTGCGAATCTTACTGCTTCATGTGGGGAGCAGTTAGAAGAATACCTTAAGGTGGTATTGAAGGCAACGGAAGCTTAAAAGTATCCCAACAATAATCAGTTTTGTTGATTTATTAATGTTACTATCATAGCTAATTCTGCTATAAGTTACTGGCTTTCTGATTCGGTCACTTTTTTTTAATGACAGATGATGGATTGTGGTTTGTTCTTCATGAAGTATATGAAGATTTTCTAGTGGATGGATCCATTTTGTGGACAAAGTATTGACTCATTGTAAATACGTGCATCACTCATGGTGTTGAGAGGCCAAAGCTCTGGATTTTTATAGAGCATTTTAGTTTAATAATGCCTTTTTATTTAAAATTAACTTACGAACAATCAGACTCGAACAGTAAATTATTTTTTACTTAAACCGGGAGAATGTGTTTTTACACTCGTCCAAAAAAAAAAAAAAAGATTTAATGACTGGTTCCTGGTGAGCATCAATTTGTTTCCTTTTGCACTTGGTTATTTTTACAGGAATCTGTTGATCTGTGATGATGTTTAAAGATTAGTGGACACTTGTGTTGAGAACAAGGTGAAGCGCCAGATGAGAAGCATATGGCTTTATTTTTCTTTCTTATCTGTTTGACTTCTGATAGCGTTTGATTACCAGCAACCAGTGGCTCAATCAGTAATTTCCTCTCCGTGGCCTCTTGTTGTTTACATTACACTTGGGTACATTTGGCTCCTGGTGCGTCCTCCCACATGCTGCCCCAGTTTAAACGCTTGTTTGTGTTTTTAACTGATCCCAGAACAAAGGATTATATCCTGCAATACTGCGATGCACCCGGGGGTTCGTCCGCCTTTACGAGCTTATGAGTCATTTGATCATCCGTTTGTTTACTGTTTGTCATAAGTGAGGCTTTTTTTTTTTCCTCCCCTGGGATGTATCAGGATCTGTTTGGGCACAGATGTGAGGAGATGCGAAGCTGAGCTGCAAGAAACAACCGAATTTGTACGTTAATGCAAACGATTTTTCTGCCGATTCACGCCACTGTGACGAGCCAGACATAAAGTAGATTCCCTGCAGAGCTTTTAAATTAAAGAGTCCTGGCACTTTTATCATCATCTAATGGTTTCTTTAATTTCCACAATCCAGAAAGAGGTTTTAAATCTTTGTTTTCTTCGTTGTTACTCACACAAAAATGTACATGCTACTTCTGTTGTTTTCAATCTGATGTCTTTTTTTCTTTTTCTTTCTTTCTTTCCAAGGCTGGGTTTGTCAATATGTATCATTTGTAATTTATGTTGCAATTCTTAATATTCATTTTTAAATAATACAATGTTTATGGTGTGCTGTGCAAAAAAAAAAGAAAAGAAAAGAAGGATGTTTTCATGAAAATACTGGTAACTGCAATCAGCCAGGAGTGGTTTGAAAAGCAAATAAAACATCATAAACTATGAGTGAATGTTGTTTTTGGATCTGTTTGTGGATAAGCGTGGTTGTGTTTTTACACAAAGTCGTCTTAACAACATTACATCCTCAGCATTATATATGTTGTTTACAGATCGTCTTCTTTGTCCAGAAGGTGTTTTGGACGCCAGCTTTACGAACTCACTAATCCTAATGAAAAACAAACTGCGAATGTCAAGTTTTGCTAGGATAGCTGCCGAGTGTCACAGAATCTCCTCGCCTCGTCCTCTGCATTCGGCATAAGCAGCTTAGTTAGAAAAACACAAGTTCAAGATATTTCATGTGCTGCCATTATGAACAATTTCTGCTCTCCAGGAAAAATAAAATCAGTAGGTGTTTATCCATCCATCCATTATCTATACACCGCTTAATCCTCACTAGGGTCATGGGGGGGGCTGGAGTCTATCCCAGCTGACTTAAGGCGAAGGCAGGGGACACCGTGGACAGATCACCAATCTATCACAGGGCCACACTTAGAGACAGACAACCAAGCACACTCACATTCACAACTACGGACAATTTAGAATCACCAATTAACCTCAACATGTTTTTGGACAAGGGCTGCAAGGTGGCACAGTTGGTTAGCACTGTTACTCGCAGCAAGAAAGTCACCAGTTCGTGTCCCGGTGGGGGATCTTTCTGCATGGAGTTTGCATGTTCGCCAAGTGCAGCGTGGGTTCTCTCCAGTTCTCTTCCTCCAGAACAGTCAAAAAGCATGTTGAGGTTAATTGGTGATTCTAAATTGTTCATAGGTGTGAATGTGAGTGTGCTTGGTTGTGTGTCTCTCTAAGTGTAGCCCTGTGATAGACTGGTCCAGGGTCCAGGGTGTCCCCTGCCTTCACCCTGAGTCAGCTGGGATAGACTCCAGCCCCCTATGACCCTAGTGAGGATTAAGCGGGGTATAGATAATGGATGGATGGATGTTTTTGGACTGTGGGAGGAAGCCGCAGAGGCCAGAACATGCAAACTCCATGCAGAAAGATCCCAGGTGTCCTCACTGGGACAGGAACCGACTACCTTCTACCTGGAAGGCCACGCTGCGAACCACCAATCCATCTTGCAGCCCAGGTGTTTAGTTCCCATCAAAAAAAAAAAAAAAACTTTACTTCTAATTGTATCTGCCTTCCTACTTAACTTTCCTTTACCCTCTGCTACAACAGATGTAGACAAGAGATGTAAACCTTTGGTGAACTGTTTCTTAATCTTAAAATCGATACTCTGATGTCACTGAAATTGCAACACCACAATTGCTAAAAAGGGAACTTTATTGAAATATGATGCATGTGTATCATTTAGAGTATTTTCATTTTCTACTACTTTGTCCTTTCACTGTACTACACTTATCTGACAGCTTTAGCTATTTTAAAGATAAAATAAATTTAACATACAACACATTGTTAAAGAAGTTTTCAACATTTTTGAGAACATTTTTTAGTTATTTTATTATAATTTCTACACTTTTTGGTCCATCTTACCCAAAAAACTCATCTTTACTAAACAACAGCGATCCAAGTTTTACAAAAGTGCAAGAAATACTGAGAATTTTTACTGAAGTAGCAATACAAAACTAGATGATGTCTGCATTTTATATATATATTTGTTCATGGGAGTTAAAAAATTGGATTTTAATGACAGCTTCTAATTTTTTGATATTTTTATTTCATGTACTTGTATATTATTGCAGATGGTGGTGCTGTGGAGCCATTTTGGCATTGATATGTCCAACTCCCTTAAAATATCAAAATTTTCTCCAGTCCTGATGTG